TAGGTTCTAAGGTATTAAAATGTAATATATCTGCGGAAGCTTCGGTGAACGGGTCCGACTAGCACTTGTTATAAATAATCTATAGCTCGGTTATTTGTTAAAGGATTTTAATTTTGTATTCAGATTTATTTTATTTTGGTTCTTTATTTTTATTATATTGTATTAAATAAAAATAACATCACGAAACTTCCTCATTGAAAATATCGATTATAATTCCATTACTTATGTAATATTGTATTAATGTTTATCATTAAATTAAAAATATCCTTATTAATTTATTGACTCCAAAAAAAGGAGGGGTGCTCAATTTGACTGTGTTTTCTTTTTGTTTCTTAACTCGTAACTTTTTACTGGGTGGACCGATTTTGATGATTCTTTCTTAATTTGAAAGCTAGTGCTTGCCGTGTGGTTCCATTTTAATTTGGTCCATCTGGCAATGATTACTATGAGAAAACCATATAAGTCTTAAATTTGCATTAAGTTTGCGTGAAATAAAAACTTTCCAAAAAAATGGAACCGTCTTCAAATTTAAAAAAAAAGTGAATTATGATAATTAACCTCAGCCCGCCATCAATGTTTTTTTTTAAAAATTAACCGCTTTTGGGATAAGTATTATATTTCACTTTTTTAAATTCTGAAAAATATTCTTAATGAAAAATACTTAAAAAATCTTTTAAGAAAATAAAGATAATCCGTTGACTGGATATTAGGCAACGGACATGTTTTCCTGAATTTCAGAATTCTGCCCTGTTCGAATAATATCGATGATTCGGGGCAGAGTTTATGTTTAATTACCGTAAATCATAACATAACGCAACGGCTCGGTCAACATTCGTCACTACATCGCATGTGTTCTAGATAAGAATTTATACTATTTAATTTTGACATATACGTGGCGTCGTTGAATAGATATTTTAAAATCATCCTTAGGTTTCTTTTATCATTTTTCATTTTAAATAATAGTTTAGGATATACTATAACGATTTAAATTTGTTTAACAAAACAATCATTCTCGCTAATTTTCTTACTAATTGATTTAAGTTTTTATTTAAAGTATAAATGATATACAAACAAAAGAAACAGTGAAAAAGCATGAAGTACAAAGATTTTTGGTAAAAAATAACTTTTATTCATTGCCAAGTCGCAGAGTAAAAAAAATAAAATAACACCTAGCTCGATTGATGAACTCGATAGATAATTAAAAAGTATAAAATAAAAATAAATAATTTATAGAAAAACAAAAAACCCGAGTACGTAAAAACGAATTTTAAGAAAACACATGAAAAAAATAACTTATATAAAAACTAAAAAGAAAGAAACAAGCCCAGAATTCTACAGAATTCTAAACTACTGGGCTTGTTTCTTTCTTTTTAGTTTTTTTAGCTGTTTTATTTCATACATAGAAGTCCAATTAGAAAGTGCCTGTATTGCTTTCATTGAATGAATTTTATAATCGTTTTTGAGTATTTAAAAGACTAGAATATTTTTATTAGAATACATATTACCAGGAAATTTTGCTGTTAATTACTGCCGAACTATTAGATTATATCGTAAGTTCTGTAACGCGAAGTAGAAAATGAAATAAAACACACCACAGCCTTGTTAACTCATTTCAATCGCAATGCCTTCCAAATGTATAGCGTTGTGATAGCAATTTATGAAATTATATAACGATGAAAGTGGCAATCACTTTCGAAGCGAATTAAAAATGAAAAACATACTAAAAAGTTGGTTACTTTAAAGTAATATTTGGGGCCAACGCTTGCCGTAGACTATTCCAATTAACCTGAATGTAGCAGCTGTATTTCCACAGGGATGTAGTTGGGCGATGCTGGGTCAAGCGCCAGGAACTGTTGGTGAAGGGCTTCAAGTGAAACAGTGGTTCGGAGAACACGGAGAACGTTCGGAAAGCGGAACATGTTTATTGCACCACAATCGACTACTCTTATACAATTTGCATTGCCGCACTTAGCTCATACATTAAACAGTTAATCGGAGCGGGGATACGCTACCCCGACCGCGCGGGCGGGGAATGTTGCTTCGTTCTTCCGTTGGTGGCGCTGTCGTCGCGGCGTGGCTCGGTGTCCTCTACAATCAAAGTAGCGATATCTCTCATTCAATTCCATTCAAACACACGTTCGCAATCAGTGACAAATTATCAAATAGTGAAGTACACGAATATTTTTGAAATGTCAAATTAAAAGGGATTGAGGTAGGTTTTAAAATTACACATTTATCGGCCTGAAAAGCAACGTGTTTATTTTCTACACTCCTTGTTTGCTTATATTTTATTGCACATCTGTGGCAATAGTACCTTTCACACGGTTACAAAAGATTAACGACATTTTCCAAATACTTTTGTGTCATTCTCATTACAGCGCTGTGACAACCTCTGATCTCAGCCATGCTCTTCTGTAATAAAATCAGATGATATTAAGGTCTGGTCGAGTGAGTGAAGAGAGTTCCTAACAACCGCGAGCCGAACAAAAATACTAGGACGGTCGAGCGAGTCAAGGGAGTCCTTTACAACAGCGAGCTGAAAATAAATACTAAAGGCGGATCGAGCGAGTGAAGCGAGTACCTTACAACAGCGAGCTGAAAATAAATACTAAAGGCGGATCGAGCGAGTGAAGCGAGTACCTTACAACAGCGAGCTGAAAATAAATACTAAAGGCGGATCGAGCGAGTGAAGCGAGTACCTTACAACAGCGAGCTGAAAATAAATACTAAAGGCGGATCGAGCGAGTGAAGCGAGTCCCTTACAACAGCGAGCTGAAAATAAATACTAAAGGCGGATCGAGCGAGTGAAGCGAGTACCTTACAACAGCGAGCTGAAAATAAATACTAAAGGCGGATCGAGCGAGTGAAGCGAGTCCCTTACAACAGCGAGCTGAAAATAAATACTAAAGGCGGATCGAGCGAGTGAAGCGAGTACCTTACAACAGCGAGCTGAAAATAAATACTAAAGGCGGATCGAGCGAGTGAAGCGAGTACCTTACAACAGCGAGCTGAAAATAAATACTAAAGGCGGATCGAGCGAGTGAAGCGAGTCCCTTACAACAGCGAGCTGAAAATAAATACTAAAGGCGGATCGAGCGAGTGAAGCGAGTACCTTACAACAGCGAGCTGAAAATAAATACTAAAGGCGGATCGAGCGAGTGAAGCGAGTCCCTTACAACAGCGAGCTGAAAATAAATACTAAAGGCGGATCGAGCGAGTGAAGCGAGTACCTTACAACAGCGAGCTGAAAATAAATACTAAAGGCGGATCGAGCGAGTGAAGCGAGTCCCTTACAACAGCGAGCTGAAAATAAATACTAAAGGCGGATCGAGCGAGTGAAGCGAGTCCCTTACAACAGCGAGCTGAAAACAAATACTGAGGACGGGTCGAGAGAGTGAAACGAGTTCCTTACAGCAAAAAAGGAAAACTAAAAACTAAAAAGCCTCTTTAGTTTAACCCTATGAACTAATCAGGTGAACTAGTTGAGAAAGAAGGTTTTATTTCACGTTTTAAATAATTTTACAGACGAGTGGGACGAATCTTCTTCCGCTTATAAAATGTCACTATGGTTTATTTTTGCTTAACCCAAGTGTTTGACTCTGTATACAAGTTTATTTTATTATTAAAAATAGTTTGTCGAAAAGGTTAATGCAGTATTTAAATATGACTTGATTATAAAATTTACACAAAAATTTGTTGTACTAAAACTCGTGTGACAATGATTTTTATATAAAAAAAAGTTGAATAAAAAAAGATTTTTTTCACTTTTTTAAATTTCAAGTCATTTCTACTATTTTTTGATTGTCATTTTATGCATTTTTGTGATATTTTGAGTTTTGGGGTCACAAATATCACGCATACTTAATGCAAATTTAAAACTTATACGGTTTCCTCATAGATGCCATTGCTAGATATTAATTATAATGTGACCACACGACAAGCACTAGCTTTCAAATAAAGAAAGAATCATCAAAATCGGTCCACCCAGTAAAAAGTTATGAGGGACAAACAGAAAAAATACAGTCGTATTGAGAACCTCCTTTTTTTAAATCAGTTTAAAAGGTGGATTTATTTTGACTAGTTTGTTACTAAAGTGCTCGAGTGTAGCTCGGTGACGTAGTAGATAAGCGCCGGGCCCCGCGATCGCTGTTGCAAAGCAACTTTCGCAAGGGCTGGTCACGGGATGGGTGACCAAAAAATTATTATCTTGGGCTACTCCATGCTTTGGAAGGCACGTTAAGCTGTTAGTCCCGGCTACGTTTTGCAGCCTTACCCATCATTGATTTTGGACCTATGTTGATGAAAATTGTGATTTTTGAGTAATTTAAGACCCTGGAACCCAGCCTTTAGTAACCATTGTTTATTATTTGATTCTTCATTGTATGTCATCTAATATTATTAATAAATAATTTATTATATAGCGATGATAAGTGGTATACGAGTAATTAGGACTCCGCTATCTGTTTGCCTGCCATCAGGCTTGTATTTCATGAACCATGAATTACAACAAATATTAACAAATAATAAACCGAAACAAATTACACTGGTAAACAGTATTTTTGTTAAACAAAATCGAGTCGGTTTTTTAAACACTACTAGCTACCCGCATATAAACCTCATACTTAGTTTTGTTCAATCACCCTCAGTTTTCGTTAAACATAAACTAAATTGATTACGCGAATTTTGCTTACCGACAAATTAATATTGAATTATTGAAATTAAAACGGTTTTTTTTTGTGATTGCCGTTTCTGTACATTGTAAGATGCCCAGAGTGTGTGTAAACCATCCTGATAACTTTTGTTACATTTGCGGTCAACTTACTATTAAAAGTCAACGTCGTAATTTGACACAATTAGTTAAAAACTGTTATTTTAATTATTTTGGCTTTCCGGTGCGAAATTTGGACAAAACCTGGACTCCTAGTGTTTGTTGTGCACAATGTGTTAGTTTATTAACATCATGGGCAAAAGGATCTCGTCATATGCCGTTTGCAGTTCCAATGATATGGTCTGAACAGAAAGACAATGTATCAGATTGTTATTTCTGCCAAACTTCTATTAAAGGTATTAATCACAAATCTAGACACACCGTGAACTATCCGAATTTACAATCTGCTCAAAGACCTATCCCACACAGAGATGATCTGCCTGTTCCTCAGCCTCCAGTAAACACGGATGACGTGATTGATGAAGAAAATGTATCTGAGAATTCTGATTCCGATCCGACTTTTGAGCCCAGCACTTCAAATACGGCACCTCATTTTGTAAATCAAAACGATCTCAATGACCTTGTACGTGATTTGGATCTCAGTAAAAGACAGGCAGCACTCTTGGCTTCCATTTGATTCCATCAGGATATATCCAACATGGAAAAACGGTACCAAGGCAAGTGGAGTCCGAACATGTTAGCTGATTACTGTTGGACACTCAAAAGAGTACCTGACGCTAAATATTCCCGAAAATCCTGAATAAAAGTCAAATGTTAGTTGTTTTTCTTGATTAAATTCAATTTTCAGCCATATTTACTTAAAAAAAGTGTATTGCAGTTGCAAGAAAACTGAGGGTGACTGAAACTTTTTAAAAATGCATATTATTAACAGGCTAATTGTAGATACAAAATATTCCATTCAAATTAATTTAACTTTCATTAAGGTCATTTTTGTCAATCAGTGTTATTAATTCCTTATACAAATCTCCACCTAGTCAGTTCAGGAATATACCATATGTCGATAAAAATATACAATAAAATACCAAAATACATTAAAGACATAGAATTAAATGCAATATTTTACAAACAGAAAAAAAAAATTAATAGACAGATGCTACTATATTAAAGGCATTCTTGGATTAGAAACTTGTAATTGACGGATTGTTTTCGTTTATAATTGTGTTGTTTTATGTTTAACAATAAGAATATTTTTATTGACATTCACACCATAACATTACAATAACAAAAAAAAAAACAAAAGACAGACAATAACTGTGGTTATATTGTGCGAAGGCCAATTAGGACCCTGTCTCAGCTAATGTCGCTACTGTGTTTTATCACAGTACCGCCGCTGGTATTATGACAGGGCCTATGTAGTGACGTATTGTGTGTGTGTGTGCGTGTTTTAACTTAACTAAATATAAATATAAATATAAACATTTTTAAATATTTAACAACATCACATACATAGCTCAGATTCCAAGATGAGTAGCTAAAGCCCCCGTATTATGGATTATCTGAGACAACGAAGGTACCACAACACCCAGACCCGAGACAATATAGAAAAGTTTATTTTCTACATTGACCCGACCGGGAATCGAACCCGGGACCTCAGAGATGGCGACACCTTGAAACCGGCGTGCGAACCACTCGGCTACGGAGGTCGAACTTGAAATTAAATAGTATAAAGTTAATCTTATAATGATTTAACGGAAATTTTATGTTTCTATTAATCGTAATTTTGTGAAGTGATGTATGTTGCAATGTCCTTGCAGGACACATGTTGAGAAAAAAATTATAAATAAGAACATATGTACCAATATGGAGCAATTAATATTATGACTATGACTATGACTATTAAAAATCAGATTAGAATAAATATTTAAGCGGGTTGCCTTACAACAAACGTGATAAATTTTTGCACTGCGCGATTTAAACCTGAACTAAGCCAGTATCTTTTTAAATGAAGTATTTAAAAAAAAACATTAGTTCCCGAAATCAAACTAGATGTCGCTACGGTACGTGCTTGATATCTCCATGACAACCCGGTTTTCTTTCATGTTTAAAAGTAAATTACTTTTCAAAACTCAATAAACAACTCATATTCTATTTGCACTTTTTCGTATTTGTATTGATATCTAAGTTTCGAACTTTGCAAATTTCGGTTTTATAATATGTTAGTTAATAGGTACGGAAATTATTGTCTTTGGTCCATTCGTTTCCTGCAAAAATCAACTTTTGCTAGAGTCGCCATCTAGTGGAGGTGCTTTATTATTACTTTCGTCATTAATAGTCGTGTTCTCAAAAAATATGAACACACTACATCAGATGTGGTGTTAATGACTTCTTAAGAATATATGAAACAGTACAATTAAATAGCATTGTAAATATTGCCATACAACAAACAAAAGCATTTATTGAAAGAAAGTAATTAATAAATCAATAACATAAATGAATAGCTTATAGTTCATGGAACTTTACAATATTTAATATGTCTTTAAACGTAATAATTAAAATTTTCGAGTATTTAAAAGCTTTACAAAAAAATAGAGCCTCAGTTTCTGGAAAATTATAGACAAGACGAAATGAAAGTCGCCGTGATTTTCGTGATTTTGGTAATTTATCTTGTTTTTATAACTCCTATTTTTAATATTATTATTTTTTTAACATATATCTAGGCCACTGTATAAATAAATAATTAGGTATGGACGAAGCAGCCGAGTGAAACAAGTGAAGAGCGAGCCGGACACAAATACTGAGGGCAGATCGAGCGAGTGAAGCGAGTCTCTTAAAACAGTGAACCGAACACAAATACTGAGGGCAGATTGAGCGAGTGAAGCGGGTCCCTTACAAGAGCGAGTTAAACAAAAATACTGAGAGCAGATCGAGCGAGTGAAGCGAGTCCCTTACAACAGCGAGCCGAACACAAATACTGAGGGCAGATCGAGCGAGTGAAGCGAGTCTCTTAAAACAGCGAGCCGAACACAAATACTGAGGGCAGATCGAGCGAGTGAAGCGGGTCCCTTACAACAGCGAGCTTAACACAAATAGAGAGGTCAGATCGAGCGAGTGAAGCGAGTCCCTTACAACAGCGAGCCTAACACAAATACTGAGGGCAGATCGAGCGAGTGAAGCCGGTCCCTTACAACAGTGAACCGAACACAAATACTGAGGGCAGATCGAGCGAGTGAAGCGAATCCCTTACAACAGCGAGCTTAACAAAAATACTGAGAGCAGATCGAGCGAGTGAAGCGAGTCCCTTACAATAGCGAGCCTAACACAAATAGAGAGGTCAGATCGAGCGAGTGAAGCGAGTCCCTTACAACAGCGAGCCGAATACAAATACTAAGGTCGAAACCGTGGACCCAGTGCAGATTGGAGGATGTTATCGAATATAGATACAGACGCTTCAGAAGAAGAACGGAAGAGAGACGGTGATAAATGGTCACACAGCCAGCAGACCGAACGCACTGAACACTGTATCGAGCTGCTCAATATTACAATTACAATAATTCAATGTAATTTATTGAGTTTAGACTGTTACAAGAATTTGTGAAAGTCGAAACTCTACGCCATCGGCTCGTAAATCTACGGCGGGAGACCTTGTACTAACAAGAACCGTCAAGAAGCTCAGCAAGGGCTGCTTTTCTCTCCCTGTTTTATTTCATACAGAGATGTCAGTTGTAAAATTAGAATACGAAGTCCTTTTCCATTACAGTATTAGAAAATATATAAAAAATGTGATAATAATAAAGAATTATAATCTGTCCCTTTTATTATTTTACAGATTGGCTCAGCCTTGAGCTTCCCAGAATGCTCGAGTAAGTTTTATTTTATATTTAACTTTTTAGTCAAAACTTGAAAGATATCTAATTATTCTCACTATTTTCCCCCGACCTTCGTCAATTATAGACTGTGTTAACGGCATGTGATGTAGCTTCCTGTGGGAGAAAGGAGAAATAACCCTCTACAAACAAAGAAATTTTACCGCTTAATATTATTAGTATAGATAGATTAATAAATCAATATATGATAAATTACATTAGACTGTGTAAGCACAATTATTATCATTATTATAAAATAAATTCATTGATCAATTTAATTCCTATGAATATATTTTTATTTTTCAGGATGTCGTGCTTTGGCAATGAAAGGTATAGTCTTTTTTTTTTATTAAAACACCATTTTTTATGGCCTTGTCCTGTTATGCACAAAAATTCTGCCAACATTCTGTAGAAGGTAGAGACGAGGCTCGAGAGACTGACCGGTAGTTAATATTAACCGGTTCTTCCTCGAAGTTGCACTTTATCTGATTGATTGATTAGAAAAAAAAACATTAGTACATTAGTAATCAAACTAGATGTCGCTACGGTACTTTCTTAATTTCTCCATGACAATCCTTCCGCTTTTCTTTAATTTATAAAAGTAAATTAGTTTTCAAAACTCAATAAACAACTCATATTCTATTTGTACTTTTTCGTATTTGTATTGATATCTAAGTTTCGAACTTTGCAAATTTCAGTTTTTTAATATGTTAGTAGTTAAAAGAAACGGAAATGACTATCTTTGATCCATTCGTTTCCTGCAACAATCAACTTTTGCTAGAGTCGCCATCTACTGGAGGTGCTTTTTTAGTGCTTTGTTTTTTTTTCAAATAATTCCTCATTGATTTTGTACTGTACCTTAACTAACTAACTTAGATATTCAGGAGTGCAAACTTGAAAATATTTATTTTGAATATAGTATTGAAAGTTACATATATTTTTTTTATTCAACCTGCATTTTTTACTACAGGTAATAATGATAATGACGGAAATAAAAATTATGATTGTGATAGTGGTAATGACGACGGTTATGCCAATTCTAATGGAAATTTAGATAACGGAAACAATGATGGTAACGGAAATAATAATAATGGGAATAACGGAAACGGAGATAATAGCAATGGGAATAACGGAAACGGAAATAATAACAACGGAAACGGAGATAATAACAATAAGAATAACGGAAACGGAGATAATAAGAGCAAAGATAATAATAATAAACCTAAACCTAAATGTATATCCGGAAAGGGTGAGTAAAGTAATTAAAAAAACTTGTAGAAAAGTATATTATTTTTAGTTGAAAGTTATCTTCTATTGTTCATGTGCTTTGTTTAGGTACCGGATTGGGAAGGCTACTAGGAGATGCTTTGACAGGAGTCAGTGAGTAGCAACATTAAAAATTATTATATTAATGAACTAAAAGAAAATTATGTTATAAACACTATAGTATTTTCACGGAAACAGCTTTTAGAATATAATGGAAATAAATAAATTTAAATCTATAATATCTATAGTACAGTAAAGGCGCTTGTGTACTACACTGAATTTTCAGGTCCAGCGGTCCGATTTTTTCCTGTCCGATATGTTAGGCCATATGAAGTTAATGCTAGCCTGTGCACTGTCAGGAATTTTACCCTCCGGAATTTTTCTTTTCTCTATTCCGGACCGGTTTTTTCAGGTCCGTGATGGCGGCAATAAAAAACGTGTTTAAGCTTGTGCACTGCTGTGTCCGCGATCCGGAAGTTCATGAGCCTGCAGAGTAGACTTGGGAAAAAATAATCGATTTATGAAAAATCGATTTTTATTGTAAATTATAAAATGCGATATTTTATATGAGGCCGTCCATAAATTACGTCACACAAAATTCGTCGTCAGTTAGTCAGTTCATCGACTCCCCCCCCCCCTCCCTCCTAACCTCCTATGATGATTTAATATAGTTGGTAAATTTCACTGCATATGCCTTATATGCCTTGGCAAACTCGATATAGTTCTAATTCGATCATCGTATGGTTCTAGTATTGATACTTTGCTACATTTTAGAAAATTTAAATTTTTCTATTTATCGTCGATCTAGCTTTTCGAGAGAACACTATTTTGGGAGCAAACACTTGTTGTAAAAACGTGTCAATTTGGATACTTTGATTATATAATGTCCAGATTCCGTGTCCCATACAAAGCGCAACGATATACAGTGATATACAGCGCGATAGTTTAAAAACGGAAATTTCAGATATATTGATAATCGATATTAATTGTAAAGTATATAATTCGATATTTTGGATGATGATTTAACATAGTAGGTAAATATTACCGCATATGCCTTGACAAACTCGATATAGTTCTTTTTTGATAATCATATGTATCGATGCTTTGCTAGATTCTAGAATCATATTAAAAGTATCGATCCCAAAACAATATCGAATCAAAAGTATCATCAACTTAATGTAAGACAAATAAGTGTTGGTAAGCTTCCACGCCTAAACAACTGAACTCATCTTAATGAAATTTGATACATAAATAGACTTAACCTTCAGATAGGACATAGGCTACATTTTATCGCGAAAAGGAGGTGGATATAGGGGATGAAAGTTTGCATGGAAATTTGTCAATATCAAAATTTTTTTTAGGAAATTGATAAGTATAAATAAATATATGATAACAAAAGTACTAATAAAGAATAAACAGAAGATTAACAGAAGTAATTTAGTGACACTCAATGTCTTTTTCGCATTTAAGTCTACATATATTGTAATAAAATTTGAAATGACTGTTTGCGTTATAAATAAATTTAAAAAAAAGAAGTATTCTAAGGAAAAAATGTTTCTGCTCAAAGAAACTATACCACGCGTAGAAAATTATACCTATATATAATACAGTCAAATGATCTCGTAAAGTTCATTTAGCATATTAAGTCTCCACTTACACGGCACTAATTTCGATTTGTTTACGAAATGGCGCCAACGATTAATCTATCTCTGTAATCGATTAAAGATGTTTTTACAATCTTCAAAAAAAATAGCACGTTATAAGTTTAAACATCAAGACCATTACCAGTAATTACATTCTAATGTCACAGATATTTTTAACTATTTTATGTGAATAATGCTGTTCCTAAATTAGTAAGGATATAAGTTTTTACATCTGATAGTAGTCATCCGACAGTAGTAAAAAAAATGCTTTCGTCTTGCCATAATTTATTATGGTTTATATAAAATGATCAGGTCATTATTTAGGTATCTTTCTACGTCTGCGTACGTAGAAAGCAAGCAATTACCGACATTCCAAAAATCCCATCGTACCTAGCGTAAGTGATGTGTAGCTTCAAAGAGAGCTGCCCTACACTGCGCCGCTCCGATCAGGAAAAAAACGGACAAATACACAAGCTACTCATCCGGGTTTTTCATGTCATTCCGGACCGGAATAAAATCGGACCGCCGTACCTGATAATTCAGTGTAGTGCACAAGCGCCCTTAGTTTCAACTAATATAGCGCATGGTGAATCCTCATTTGCGAAGAGTAGACCTTCCAATACCGATGATGACAGAACGTACGATTAAAGTTTACAGTGAGTCTTGTTTCAATGATCATAAGGAGTAAAATACAATGCATTATGTGTCCGTCTCACACTCAGGTGGGATGAGCCGCGTGGATATTGGTGGATCTGTTGCCGTCATACTTGAATCATTCTGATCAGTTAATATTTGATGTGTTTCGAAAAACTTGAGCGGCAACATCAGTGTCACATCAGTTGTATCTTAATGTACACAAAGTTTATTTTTAACGGCTAATTTTAAATGTTTTTTTTTGTTACAGCTTGTACTGTCGATGGTAAGAAATAACTCGCTTCACTCACTCGACCCTTCCTTAGTCTTGTTTGGCTCGCTGTTGTAAGGGACGCGGTTACCATTACCTACACAACAAGCCCCCTAATTGTCTAATTTTAAGTCTATTGCAATCGCTTTCAGTTTGAAAGGTGTTGCATAACCATTGCTGCATAATACAAATACTTTTTTTCAACTGTCTTCAGAAACAAGCAATGGTTATACAACATCATCAAAGATTTTAAAGTTAGACAATTAGTCCCAAGATTACCGCGTTTTGGCTCAAATATGATTGTGTAATATAAATAACTGTATAATCATTTAATATATCAACTAATTTTATATTTTTAGGACTTCTTGTTGACGTTGGAGGTGCTCTTGATGCCACAGTCAGTGGTCTCGGAGGAGTTGTAAAAGTATTAGGAGATAATTTAGCTAGTAAGTTTATCATTTAAAAATTTCTATTTTAGCATCATCTTTAGTCTATTAATGTGTTAACTGCAGCTTTTTTTAGATCTCTCACAATCACTTTGATTTAAAAAGATATTCACGGACTTCACATTACAACTATTTGGCATGTTAAAATTGGAATTGTCTAATTGAACAAAATAGTAATTTAATTTAAAATAGGGATGATGACTGGGTAAAAAAAATGCAATTCTATTTAGTCCGTTAGTCAGATAATAGAAAAATATTAGATACGTATTTTTTTTTACTTCAAATTAACAAGAAATAGCTTAGATAACATGCATTAAAGTTTAGGAGTGGGGGCTCGCTACGTCACAGTTGAGTAGAAAATGTACTCTAACGTGACGTCATGCGAAATTTCAACTCAATCTAACGCCGTAATTTTATGATTACGAAAAGAATAAAAAAATACGTGTTTAATATTTTTTAACACTCTACCTGACGGACAAACAAACAAAAATTTGTCATCATCCCTATTGTAAATGGTGCTGACTTAACGTCAAATAAATGTTATCGTTCATTCAGTATGTTTCAAAAGAACGTCGCGCTCGCAATGAGGAATTATTTTAAGAAAAACTAGAAAGCACTAAAAAAAGCACCTCCGCTAGATGGCGACTCTAGCAAAAGTTGATTTTTGCAAGAAACGAATGGACCAAAGATATTAATTTCCATTCCTTTTAACTAACATATTGAAATCATGAAGAAATCAAGAAATTACCGTAGCGACATCTAGTTTTATTTCGGGAACTAATGTTTTTTTTAATACTTCCTTCTTGCGACCACACGTCAAATAGTTATAGCGTGAAGTTCGTGAATATCTTTTTAATTGTCAAATTGAATGTGATTATGAAAGCTTTTAAAATTGGATTTTTAGACCACAGAATATTGTATACAGTGTAGAGGTTCGTGTGGAGCTGTCAATAAAAATGTTTTATTGTTTCAGAACTGTAAATTTTGACGTCAACTCTCTAACTACAATACAGGTATGCTTTTAGGTACATACAGAAATAACTTATGTTATTACATTATTGTTTAAACTCCGCTGTTGCTTTTTACGGAAGAATGAATTCTGTGCACTTTTATTACACACTCACTTTAATGAGGAAGTATTTTAAGAAAAAAAAGAAAGCACTAGAAAAGCACCTCGCTAGATGACGACTCTAGCAAAAGTTGATTTTTGCAGGAAACGAATAGACCAAATATAGTCATTTCCATTCCTTTTAACTAACATATTAAAAAACTAAATTTGAAAAGTTCGAAACCTAGATATACAATACAATACAAATACAAAAAAGTACAAATAGAATTTGTGTTGTTTAAGTTTTGAAAATTAATTTACTTATATACATGAAAGAAACCGCAAGGGTTGTCATAGAGAAATCAAGAAAGTACCGTAGCGGCATCTAGTTTGATTTCGGAAACTAATGTCTTTTTTAAGTACTTCCTTATTTTAGCATAAATTTACTCTGATGCTAAACCTTGTTTATTAATAGCACTGTATGAACGGGCATGGCACTGAATGGGTTAAATTTCATATTCTGTTTTTATTTTATTACAGGTAACTTTGGATCATCATTACTGCCAGATTATGTGATAAAACTTAAGCTAAATGGAACATGCAATTCACTAAATTTAAATATTTATGTAGAAATAAATATTGTTACAAAGAAATTGTTTTCATTTATTGCATAATAGCTTTACGAGGCGGCTTCGCCCGCGTGGTCCTGTATTATACGTATATACCTTCCTCTTGAACCACTCTTTATATTGATGGAAATCTGTTTTTAACAAAACTTAAATATATATTAGACAACATGACATACATTTCTCCCCAGATAGCAATTTAAACTTGTTTCAGAATTGCAACAAGTTTGATACATCTAAAAAAAAGACTTGCTTCAAGTTTGCAATGACAACTGCAGCAAGTTTAAATCAAACTTTCTAGTTTTAGTGTAAAAAAATTGCACGACCTTACGTATCAAAGGTAGTGCAAGTGTAGGAAAATTATTATTACTACTACCGTAGTGGTAATAATAATTTACCTAGGTACTGACTCGAATACCTGGCAGGTACACGAATACCTAGCAGGTACTCGAGTACCTGGTATACAGGTTGTCGAGGCAAATATTACTTTAAGTTTAATAAATTTTTATTAATCTTTTGATCATTCAAAACTTTTGGTCCACAAGCGATTGCGACTTTAAACTCAGACCACAGCACAGAGCACTAGAACGGTTGTTCTCGAATCCCATATTGAGATCTCAATAAACGGCATATTACTAATATAATCTAACAATATAAACTGAAACTGCGATGCATTAAATGAACAGCGCCATCTAGTTTGCAGACTTAGAATTATTCGGGCACCTATGAAGATGATGGGTGTATTACATATAAGTGTCTTTGTCATAACAATATTCAAACAATATTGCCGCAAACTTGAAACTTCATAATTAACATAACAATATACAATCACTCATAAGTAAATTCTAAGTTACTCACTCTGTGCCGGTCTCAATCAGAAAAGAAAAAATATCAACCAGCAAAGCACGATCAAGCGAATTCGAACCCGAAAAAGTCTTATTCCTAAAGTTTGCAGATAAGGAACATCATGTTTAAATTTATAACTTAGTCTTTTCAGACACTTATTCTGAATTCTTTCAATTTGTTTAATGTAAGTAGCATAAATTGGGTTACACACCGTGGATGCATATTCCAAATGGCTTCTTAATAAATAATAATACAACATAATGTAAGTATATAAATTTTTAAATCATTTGCCTGAAAACAAACTCTAGCATTTTATAGGCTTTTGCCGTAGCTTTGTCAATATGAGAAGCAAAGCTTAGTTGACTATCGAGATATATACAAAGGTCTCGCACCACGGCCACTCTTTTAATTGAAATATTGTTGAAGTTATAGCAATCATTTATTGGATACTTTATTCTAGAATAGGTTATTCTATTACATTTATCGATATTTAATTGAACATCACTTTTAGAACAGTATTCATAAAATTTGTTTAATTCTTCTTTAAATAGTTGATTATGTTAAACAGATTTAACAAGAAAAAATATTTTTGTGTCATCAGTGTTTGGAATGATCAAAAACTACTCATAATATCATTAATAAAAATGTTAAAAAGAAGAGGGCCAAGGTGAAAACCCTGGGGCACCCCAGAGGTGATGGGAATAATGCTAGAGGTATATCCTTTTAATCGCTACTGCCTGGGATCTGTCGCGCAAGTAAGAAGTTAGCCACCTAAGCAGATCGCCATGTATACCGATGTTTTCTAATTTTATAATTAGTAGCTTATGTGAAATTTTATCAAATGCTTTCGAATAATCGGTATACACTGCGTCAACCTGATAACCATTCTCTATTGCGTTCAAAGACGAAAAACGATAAATTAAAAACGACCAAATAATATTAATTAAATTTTAATGGTTCGTAATGTGCTTAGAAATTTTGTAAATTGTGATATATTATTGATGTTAATAAATAAAAAAATAATGAAACACCATTTTAGAACCAGTACTTTTTATTTTTCATGAACAACAAAAATAATTAACAAAATCATTAGTCAATACAAATATATATCAACATCATGTGTGAAAAAACAAAAAAGTATTGACTTTCTGTCTTTATATATATAACAAGTATAGCCATCAAAGTAACATATCCCCAGTTTTAAATTTAGTGTATGTCTCTTTCCTTTTAACAAAGATAAATTTATATATGCCAATACTGTCGTACCACTATCTAAACTGGAATAACAAAATCTAACTTTAATTTGTATATTATAACGGCATTCTAATAGTCTTAAGTAAACAAATATAATCTGTGTGTTACTTGTCCAATTTCAAAATCCATCGGAATCCTTTTTCCCGCATTCGCTTTCGGAATAAAAGATAATTTTAATAAGAACAAGAAACAAAAACGTATTATTGCATTTAGTATCCAACTCTTTCATTTGACAATAGCTTTTAAGATAATATTTCCTTCTAAAGCTTGCAAGACAATTTCAAATTTACAAGAACGTTCATTAAATGTCTCCAAAAAAAAACAAAGATATTTAAATGAAAAATTAATAGGGATTCCGATGGATGTTAAAACTAGAGAATTAGGCCCCTGTATAATATTAATAAATGATTTTCACAATTGAAAACTCACTTTCACAACATCAAAACTACATTTAGATTAGTTTTTACAACAGAATTGGCACCACATAACTAAATTTAAGTTACTCACCATAATTAGTTACGTTACAAAACTAACTGGAGATTTCACAAATCACAACATTGTTTAAAAATACATTTGGCTGCTACCTGTCGATGATGTCATACGTATATATTAATATGGATACGACTCCGGGTTCTGTGGTGTTAAAGTTAACTTGAACTTTAATAAATGGAATCCTAGCAATTGCTGTTTGTTCAATATTCAAAAACAGTAATAAACTATATTTTCACGAAGTTACATTAACAATATATATTTAAATTTCGGCATCACAGACATATCCATACTACGACAACATGCCGTAAGTATTTAAAACAGTACGTATTTTCATAACAATAGTGAAATCCATATTTTTTTGCACTCTTTTAATGAGTGTATTAACTTTTAAGGTTATTAAATATTTCTCGATATCAGAATTGCGAAGGAATTCATAGAAGTATAATAAAATAATGTAAGAATGACTTCATATCGCTTATACCATAGAGATATATTATGGATACACAGAAGACACGGCTAGCTGCTACCAGAAGGATCTTTCCATTAGAAAGAGAGAATAGATTGCGGAGCGTATCTCTCGCTCTGCTGACGCATGAATTATAAACAGACACTCGCATAGTTTTAAAATGTTTTCGGAGTTTGATAGGGTCTTATCTTCTCTCTCTTTCTAACCGAGAATTATTTGGCTTCCTGTTCTATTTATAATTAATACCTCTAAGACTCGTACTTATGTCGTTTAATTTCTGCAACTGACTAATTGAAGATTCGACTTATTGAATCGTTGAAATGTGGACTTTAACTCATAATACTTTGGCTCAAATCTCAGCACAATAGTGACAATTCTGCGCCACTGTAAAACTAAAAAAATATACTTTATTTCAACTGTATTCTGAAGCCACATATAATTATAATCCTGTGGCTTGTTTATTTTTAAAATTTACCACAATCACATTGAATTTGATATTTTTAAGATATTGACACAAAGCAACTGCGCTCGAGACTTTTTTTTTAAATATATGGAATGAACGATAACTTTATTTTAAGTTAATTGGAATTGTGTAATAGCCAGTTGCACAAACGTACATTAAAAAATTTCATTAGTTTAAAGCGACATTACCCATACAAATTTGATATTCATTTTTTAAGATATTGACACAAAGCAACTGCGCTCGAGACTTCTTTTTTAAATATATGATATGAACGATAACTTTTTTTTTTTTTTAAAGTTAATTGGAATTGTCTAATAGCCAATTGCACAAACGTACATTAAAATTTTCATTAGTTTAAAGCGACATTACCCATACAAATTTGATATTCATTAGAGCTTAAGGGTGTAATTAAACCTTAATGGACGTTTGTGCAACTGACCGTAAGCCGAGTGAAAGTTACAAATACATTGTGACTTCAAAAATTACACAATTCCATAAATCACAATCACAATAACTATACGATTGAAAGGGATTGTAATAGATTTTAAAATTAAACAATTAGGGTACAGCTTGTCTTATAGAATACATATAATACAGTCTTCGGTTTTAAAACTTTTTTCTAACCACAGGGTGATTCATTAGATGTGCAACAGACATTGTTTACAATATATCACTGTTCATCTTTGTTATAAGCACATACAAAATATAAAACAATTATATATTTTGACTAATAAATACGTGAGCGTTCAAATCTTAATTTAAATTAAAAAAAATTCATGCTAATAGTAGGTCTGTTAATAGTCCTAAAAAAAAACAAAAAGGTATACCATACCGAATACTTTATAAAATACTTATTAATAATTTGAAAATTGTGCGATGTATCGTTGTGATTTAAAGTCGGAAATATTAATAAAGCATCTGTTTTTAGGATTGGTGCATATCCGACGTAAGAAGCCTCACATCTCGTCAGGTCTGAGAAATATACAACGTGTCCCAAAATTCAACGATAAGCGGGCGCCAAGAGTTAGACCTGCTCATGTGTACTTATGGAAAAATAAGAAAAAAATTATGTCTTATTAATCTTTTTTATTATAAAATAAAATTCGAAAATTTTCGAAAATTTACACCTTACATGATATTATTTGTTGGCAATTTTTCATTAATAATACGGCGATTCCGAAAATGATTTGACTCGTCTGAGGTGTCAGAAAACTATCACCTGTACTATTTTAATGAGTTATGAAATCCGTTTAGCCATTATACATAATGACTAAAAATTAGTCAATTTACTGAAACATTTCATATCACTCTTCTATTCCCAATTGTAAATAATGTATCTATTTTTTTATTTTATTTAGACAACAAATTACATAGTCATATAAGTGAATCGCTGTTTTTACGAATGCTTTAAGGTTTTAAAATTATCTATGAAAAAATTTGACTGTTTATTAATAACGCGATGTAATTTTATCTGTAAACTTCAACAAATACCAAAACAAAATAATACTTTATATTCGTTAGTAATATGTAAAAAAAATTGCCCATTTCTTTAGAGATTTTGAAGAGCAGAAATAGACCAAGATTCTTAAATTTTAGTTAGGTTAAAAGTTAGCAAGTGATAACGGCTTGTAGTGTAATTAAAATATTTGTGCAGTTACTAAATGTGATGAAAACTGAATAAACTTTAATGAAACATGAATATTATTGATATTAAAAAATAATTACGCTTTGCTGAATTTCTCAAGATTATTCAACATTTAATTGCAAACAGATTTACCAATCGTCAAATATTGACTGAAATATTGTCATATTGTATATATTTTATTTATTAGTTTTATTCTTAGTGTATGTAGACACATTCTTTTTAATGTGCATATGTTAAGAAACAATATAATAGGTTTTTTTTTCATCTTTAGTTTATAATTATAGGTAGAACGAAGGCGTTATGCTCAGAGATATCATGCATAGTGAACCGATTAAAAAAGAGATTAGCGTGAAAATTAACAGAGACATATTTGATAGGTTGTGTAAAGAATATCACACGAAAAATTTATAAACAAAGCGAAAGCGGTAGATTTAAGTCTCAGCTTTCACGATGTGTTAGATCTCTTGATATTTTATGGTAATATCAGCCATAAAACACAGCGAGTGAATATGAAGAGTTGTAAATGTAAAGAAAGTGATAAGTTTGTAAAGACAATGCTCAGTTCTTTATTCCTACTACATAAAAGCTAGGCGTGAAAATAGATAATAGATGCGTGTCACTCACTGATATATCTAAGAAACTGAAGTGAAATAAGTGTACTCACTTTTACTTTAATAATAGATTGGTGTCACTCACTGCTACACTTAAGCAACTGAATTGAAATAAGTGCACTCACTTTTACTTTAATAATAGATTGGTGTCTCTCACTGTTATACCTAAGCAACCGAAGTATTATAAGTGTACTCACTTTTACTTTGGTAATAGATAGGTGTCACTCACTTCTATGCCTAAGCAACTAAAGTATCATAAGTGTATTCACTTTCTTTTTTCTTTTCATTAGTGTATTTTCATAGCATATATGTAGAAAGGATGCATTTGACGATTCATAAATCATACACATGCTACACAGAAATTTTGTTACAATAAAAAAATAATACTTATATTCGCTGCACTTAACAGCTTAAATACTTTATAATACATAGTCCATTTTTATGTTCTCGGTTCAATTTTTTTCGTTTTAATATTATACATTATACTTTTTTCTAATTATATCAATTATGTACATAATTATGGCCCTTAAGATCACTTGTAGTCTATTCACATTTGTCAAAATAATACCATTAATTGCAGATTCGAAATTATCACTACTTGTGTAACTTTACAAGGAGAAATGCAAGGGTTAATATCAAATGCAGTGAATGATTTTTGAAAAAAATATAATGTCTATGTGCACGACTTACGACCTATAGACCTAGCGTCCTCAACTTCGGCAGCTTTGACGCTTTGAAATTAAACGTGTTATTTAAGACAAAACATTAAAAGCAAAAAATATCTTATTTTATATTGCAAAACTACTGCGATACTGTCATTTGGGTGGACAGAGGGTTGTAAAATTATTTTTAATCATTCAAATTAAATGAGGTAACTAAATTTTATTAAAATAAATGTTTTTTTTTAATTTGATTATGTCAAAATTTGTTTAGCTCAGTTTTAGTTGCAATTATTACTGTGAAACAAAAAATTAAAGTATATTCTTAATGACAAATGCTTAAAAAATCCACTTGGTCTCTGGCACCCTGAGATGGGATTCGAACTCATGATCTTTCGCAATTCGGGCGACTGCTCTAACCACTGAGCTACCCAGGACCTAACAGGACTGACGAGTCTTGCAAGCGCTCGTAACTTTTTCGTTACTACAGAGCGTATTTTTCATTAAGAATATTTTCGAAATTGATCAAATATAATATATTAAAGTATATTCAAAGATTCCCCTACAATTAGTAATAAATGAAATATGGTTTTTAGAATGAAATGAGTATTAGTCTTACGACCGGGCTTTATGCGCATCACTCACAATATAAAACAGAAACTTTGATAGCTTGCAATGGCTGTTTTTTTCCGTTGAAACTCACAATTACGACTGAGTTTTTGTTTTTTATATTAATTCAATTGCAGCTGAATACGGCACGACGATAAAGTATAGAAGTGATAAAAGCAAAAAGATATTATTTTAGTCATCGTATTTAGAAAATACTTGTATAAATAATGATAATAATAAGTTATTTTACTTTAAAATATATGTAATGTGATGTTGGTTTGATAAAAAAATATTATCATTTGGTAAATTTAAAAATATATTTCAGCATAGTTTGTTAAAAGTTTAATCGATTCCTATACAAAATATGACTTAGATTTAATTTAAAATTAAAAATTGTGATATTTTTGTATTAAATCGTGATCAATACTGTTTTCACGTTAATTGAATGGAAATAAATATAATTCCTTATATAGTATGGTATGACAGATGACAAAGCTGCAATTTTTTGCTTTTAGCCACCACGAGCACTGCCATAGACTGCGCCCCCCACCTAGTATTTCGCACCCAGAGAATACTAACTCCAACGCTATTTCAGACTCAGAACATATGTTTTTACAATTACAACACAATCCATGGGAATGATAATAGCACAATTGTGAACTATTTGTTTAAGAGGCTACTGTACCAGTGAAATTGTTAAATGAATATGATATTTTAAATCACTTAAATAAAGGCACTAAAACATTCTTTCACAGGAAACAATTTCTAATCTGCAATTATTTACCTATATTACATTTATATGGAAAATCCAAATCACATGTTACGTTAGTAATATATACCAATTTAACATATTATGTTAGCAATTAGCGGCGATCCTTACAATTACTTTACGTATCTGAACTGTAAGAAGAATTAAACATTTCGCCTAGCCTTTATATAAAATGACTAAGCAACATGACATTTTAGCCAATTTGTTGAATTTGATTAATATTATTCGATTTCTTTGTTTATATATTAATCTCCAATTTCACGTTATGCATAATATATGTATGTCCTTTGTTGTCTCCCTATTTTAGTCATATTGGTACACAAATCTTGATCTCTGAAAAAAAGAAACAGTAATAAATTATATTTTAATATAACAAACGAATCCAAATAATATTTAATGAACCTTATATTTCTTTGCTGATGGTACTAAAATGACAGCTAACCACTGAAGTTGGTAGCAAATCCGATCCTACTATAATTTCGCTCGCATAAATATCTCGGCGGGGTAGTGGATAAGCGACGCGGTCCACGATCTTTAAACAACTTTCGCAAGGGTCCGTCAATCCCTCCTCCATGTTTCAGAAGGCGCGTTATTTTGCAGACGTTAATATGCTCCAATCAGCGTTGTCAGATTTTTTTTGCCACGTCGGGATTTTGTTTGAGTTCAAAAAAAGGATTCTATCGTCGAAAGCGAGACATTGTAAAAGAAACGTATATGATCAGAAGATTTTAAATATTTTTTCGTGTTTGAACAAAAAAACGCTAATTAAAAAATCGTACAACGTAACAACGCTTAAAATTTTTAAGTTATTTCCACCTCTAACTAATTATAATTATGCGCCGGACGGGCGGCCAGTTCACACTTGTTCATGGCACCCGGCTGCGCTTCCTCAGCACGCTGCACCGGTCGAGTTAACCCCGAAAGCGGGACCAAACCTGTCCCGCGCGGGACATATAATTTCGATTTAAAACCTAAATCGAGACGTCTGGCAACGCTGCCTCCAATCCACATTGGGCTCGCGTGGAGGATCATGGCGCATTCTCCTTAACCATCCACAAGGTAGGCCTGAGCCCTTGAATTAAAGACCTAAAAGAGCTGATAATGACTCACCTAATATCACCCCAGCCACCATTTCCTTTGGTAAGTTTCTTATTATGTTTCGCCCCGCCTGTCGTCACTATTGCCGTCACCCGCGACGGGTACATGTACGGTTTGGCATTTTTCAGCAGCTGCTGTACTTTACTTATAACCGTCGACGCGTTGCAATTAGATTTCTTGTGATGTATACCACTAGAAAAATGTAAAGGTCGAATTTAAAATATTTATGATAGAAATATTTACGGTAGATATTGAGTAGTTAGGTGGCGTAGTGTATAAGCGCCGCGGCCCGCGATCGTTGTCGTTAAGCAACTTTTGCAAGGGTCGGTCACGGGATGGGTGACCGAAAAATTATTATCTCGAGCTACTCCGTGCTTCGGAGGGCACGTTAAGCCGTTGGTCCCGGCTGCATTTGCAGTCGTTAATACCCTCTAATCCGCATTGGGACAGCGTGGAAGGTCATGGTTTATCCTCCTTAACCATCCATAAGGAAGGCCCCTGCAGTGGGGACGTAAAAGGGCTGATGATGATAAAAATCAATTTGCAGTTAATATCTTACAGTGTTATTTAATAAATAACATTTAGCGTTGGAGTAAATTTACGCTGAGACTGCACTTAGTATTAGTCAAAATTCATATTATTATACAGAGACTTGGCAAAGGTTTACCTAGTACGTGGTTCTATGGGAGTAATATTTAGGAAATTTCAAACGAAATTAATTGTGTATGACATTTATATCATTCAAATCAATATTCGTTCCAAAAGAGATTGTGACTTAAAAATTTACAGATTTCCATAAATCTAAAGTGTTTGTGATAGATTTCAAAATTATACCATTCGGCCACTGGTGCCTATTAAAAATCCAAAACTCATGTCAGTATTTAAACTTTAGATTTAGCACTGAAACTCTAACAGTGACATTAAGTAATAAACAAGGTGTAGCGTCGCAGAAAATTTACGCTAAAATTGCAATTTTAATATAAATCCAAGTTCGTAGTAAATATTACTCCCGTAGAACCTAGTACTAGGTAAACCTTTGCCAAGTCTCTGTTTAATAATATGAATTTTGACTAAGTGCAATTTCAGTAATTATGGCTATAAAAATGTGTGTTGATATACAAATTTAAATAAATATCTACTAGATACTTTTAGCTCGTCTATTAATCACGTGACGATGGTGAAGTACCCAAATGACGTGTATTTTTAGTACCTACAAAAAAATCTTAATTTTTGCCGTCGCTCTTCGGTTTAAGGAAAAAATAAATACGTGATATATTACCAGAGGTCGAAATTAGGTAGAGTTATTTATGTACTTGCATCGAAATGTTGATATTATTGTGGACCTTCGTGGCAACATCGCGCGTATTGGTCATCAACTTTGGACATCCGATGTCATGTTGTAAACTTGGCAACGTCGTGCGTGCAGTAGTTTAAATTGTGTAAAAGCAAATACCTTTTTATTTAAAAAATCACGGGATTTTTTCTGCTCTTTAAAATTAATCTCGGGATTTGAGGCATATCCACTTTATTCTTTCGCTGTATGAAATCAGTGTAAGTACATGAATAACTCTACCTAATTCCGACCACTGTTACACCCCCCCATCCCTGTTGTGATATTTTACGACTCATATTACTACACCCCCATCCCTTGTGATATATCGCGATTTTTGACGACCCCCACCCCTTTCGAGCGATGTTTTTTAAATATTTGAAAATACAAATTGCGTGAAATGGATTTGTTGCTAAATAAATGATACTCACCACTCGCCTATATGGAACACCCTAGGTCCCTTACACAGTATAACTTTAAACTTCTCTCTTCCTGGTCGGTTCTGTGACAGATGCAACAAAGAATAATCCCAATTGTAATCGTCATACGCACAGAACTGATCTTGCAACTCCATAATATTGTTCCATACTGTTCTATTGAACGCGAAACCCATGTTGTGCATACTCGAATGCCAAGGTGTGATCTCCACCTAAAATAGTAGATGGTCTCTCTTATCGTAATCGCTTTTGAGATATAAATATATAGCGTCATATAATATAGTGCCCTTATATATTCCAAAAAAAATGTCGATAACTATCCATTGATTGAAGACGCAAAATTTAAGAGAACAGCCAAATGAATTTTTCAGATATATATATACATATGTCCACTATAGTTAGGACCAGCATATTTACTTACACCACAATCCATAGTCAGGAGAAGTAACCACTTGAGAAAACATCATAACATTTTTTAACCAACTTTTGAATGAAACAAGAATCCTTAATATCACTATAAATATTATAACGAGGTAACATTTGATTGTCTGTTTGTTTGTAACGAATAAACTCCGAAACTAGTGGACCGATTTTAAAAATTCCTTCACCTACAGGTAGTTACATCATACCCGGTGGACATCATTACATAGTATAAAACAAAGTCGCTTCCTCTGTCCCTATATCCGTATGTATGCTTAAATCTTTAAAACTACGCAACGGATTTTGATGCGGTTGTTTGTCATAGATATGGCGATTCAAAAGGAAGGTTCTTATGTATAATACAAGAGCACGCGGGCGGAGCCGCTGGCCGAAAGCTAGTAGGCTATATTTTATCCCAAATTTTTAACAGCAAATAAAGGTATGAAAATGGATGTAGATATTAACCATTGTTTATTATTCAATTATGTAAGTGTTGATATGAATCGATATCCAAATGAACAGTTCCCTATTTTTTTCATTCAATATCTTGTTTATTTATTAAAAATATATGTTCAATTTTTATAATTAATTACTATTACTCGACTATAGATACAGGTGTAAGTATTCACACAAGATATAATATTGTATTAATACTGTATTTTTATAACATAATAAAAATACAGTGGCACTATACTGGGTTCGATTCCCGGTCGGGTCAATGTATAAAATGAACTTTTCTATATTGACTCGGGTCTGGGTGTTGTGGTACCTTCGTTGTCTCAGATACTCCATAATACGGGGGCTTTAGCTACTCATCTTGGAATCTGAGCAATGTATGTGATGTTGTTAAATATTTATTTATATTTTATATATAATTTAAAAATAGGTTGACTTTTGATACTCTAGTATCGTGTAATATTATGTATCGACATGCATATACTATTATCTATAAAAAATTAAAAATATTTAACTCAGATTAGCATATTACGTAACTAATACCAGTTTTCACTGAACTTAGGAGTCGCCTAAGTCTGTAGCCTAAACATTTAGGAATCGCCTAAGGTGAAAGTGCATTTCATCAAAAACTAGGAACTAATGAATGTCTAAAGTTATGAGATGCGTTATGCGACACTTTGTGCTAGGCGTTTGCGTAAGTCACAAATGTGTCAAAGGAATGTTTATTTGGATTTAAACTAATATGCTTAGACTGTTAGATTAGGCGTTTCCTAGTTAAATTATGCCTTGTTCTAGGTTACTGAAAACGGGTGTTAGTCCTAGAAAAAATATAATGTATGAATATTTTTAATATACAAATACACATTCAAAACAAAAGATGTGCACATTGCTTAATACCGATGTACTTATTAAATAATAATTTGGTTTAAATGCATTATTTTAATAATAAAAATAAAATGATACTTTGCATGCATTAAGGTGTAATATTATTATATACCAGGACTTCGCGGGGTGGATGAGTTGAGTATACTGTACAACTATTACTATGGGAGCAATACTGAATTCAAGAAAAAAAAAACTGCTGTTTCATACTGTTGGTGATTGTAGGTATTACATGAAACAGCTGTTTTTTCGCGGACTTTTTGACTTTCTATGATTTCGCTAATCCAAGCTGCGAAATCCTGGCACATAATAATAACACCTTATATAAAAAAAAATATATGTACAAAATTTTAGGCATTTTATAAAATGCCTAAACTAAATAACTTAATACCGCACACCAAACGCTAGATAGCTTTTCTAAGATAATCATGTACTTTAATAAGAATCGTATTAATATAAATTGATTGGAATTTTTCATTGGGTAATAACCAGAGGTCGGAATTAGGTAGAGTTATTAATGTACTTGCATCGAAATGTTGATATTAATGTGGACCTTAGTGGCAAAATCGCGCGTATTGGTATTTTGCAACTTTGGACATCCGATGTTATTGATGTAAGTTTGGCAACGTCGTGCGTGCAGTAGTTTAAATTGTGTAAAAGTAAATAACTTTTTATTTAAAAAATCACGGGACTTTTCTGCTCTTTAAAATTAATCTCGGGATTTGAGGCATATCCACTTTATTCTTTCGCTGTATGAAATCAGTGTAAGTACATGAATAACTCTACCTAATTCCGACCACTGGTAATAACAAAGGTCATGCCAATTTATATAATACGGGTCATCTAAATTAATAACAAGGTATGCAGTAAAATTAATTATTTAAATTCGGTGTGTATATGTTACAAACTACTGTAATTATATCAATTATTTGTATATTGAATTTGCTCGTTCAATTATTATTATTTTATAAAACTAATAGTCTGGCGCCAATAGAATTAACTAGTTAAATATAATTATGGCATTGATATATTTAATTGTAACAAAACTTATTTATTAATAAAATCAGAAAGTTTTTACCTTATTTTTTTTCATGTAAAGATTAATTTGCTTAATAACTTAATTAGTTTAATTTTTTTTTAATTTTATTGATCTTTAATTAATTTATCATGATATAACCTGTTAATACCATTTGTTATGGAATTCATTGCTATCTATTCTATGTCGTAAATAAAAATAAATATATATTGAAATATGATATTACAGTTTTAACAGCAAAGGCTTGGGCAACGAAATGTGTTCTATTTTTTGCTTACTGAGATTTTATGCCCCTTAAATAAAATTACATTTCACACGTAAATTTGTTTTAAGAAACTCAAGTAAGTACTTGTGTCCATTATTTACCACTCTTATTATTAAGAGTTTTCACAGTTGTGATAGGGTAATTTCACTAGTGAAATATAAGTCACGACATTGCACGAAATTTAATATTTAAATCGTAATAAACTTAGCGATTCTAATTTCGAGTCTTCAAATCGCAACATAATTATAATATCTTAAAATTAAAAGTAAAACAAGACCCGCCATTATGTGACGTCACTGTGGCGACAACTATTAGAATATTCTTAAAAATATGCCTATTAATTATAATAAAATTCCTAGATCGCCATCTGTTCTATGCTTATAATAAAAGGATATTTCTTTTCATTTAGTAATCGACCGTTAGATGGCATTGTTCTTGTTTTATTGACATCTTTAAATCGTCTACTCTGTGCATCTGTTTTGTGTACATATCACAATGACGTTATGAATATCACCGATAGCATTTTAGCGGATATAAAAACAAGTTTAAATTTTGATTTAATTTTATGGCGTGTTTGTTTTATGACTTTAAAAAAAAAATTAAAATAAAAAGTTACAAGTATTATTTCAAACAGAGTAGAATAGCCTATATTAAAAAAGTAATTTCGTGTTACAATACTATCTAATTACTCGTTGTTTACTAAGCAACTTTCAGCGGCAAAGAAAGCGATACATATACAGCAAGCTATTTTCAGTTTTGTTACCTATACAAACTATATTTAATCGATCAACTTTCGATTTTTTTAATGGTTACAGTCCTATACACACATGGGCCGTTTGAAGTAGTTTTACTTAACGTTTTTTAACCCGGGCAAATGCTCCCCTTCCCCCCCCCCCCTTGATCTGGTCCTGTTATTTAAATATCAAATAGTTTATGACGACAAATTCCATGCCTTCACGGCATTTCCAAATACTACTACTATACAGTGTTTTTAAAGTAATACCCGTAACCATTCCAACATGCTTCCCCATCACGTCGCAATAAAAATAGCAATCAACCAAATTGTCTAGTTTATTGTTGTAAATTTAAATGAATATACAACATAGGTATATACCAATATATACATATTTTTAATTTAGTCATGTTATAACGTATTTTTAAGTATACGTATAAACATGACTTAGTCATTTTATGAAGTGACTAAATATATTGAAATTATACTGTTTATAGTCAAATTTTAGTTTCTTATTATAATAGATATCAACGGATAAACCGGTTAATCGGATTCATAAACGGTTAATTGCATTATGTGAATTGACTGAAGTATACAGCATCCTTTATTTTTATATATGTCATCATAGACACTTCATAAAATATAATATAATTTTAAGACAATTTGGCTATATAATGTGGAGGCAAGCTCTAAATAAAATCATGCTGCTACACTATTATCAACCTTTTGAGTATTAGAATAAAGGTTGGGGTAGACTTGGAAATTCCACGACTGAGTTTCCTTCATCCGTCTCCTTCTCTCTTCGTTAGCCGCTTTCACTTGCTGTATATAGTTGAGGGTAAGCTGTTTCTTCCTCTGGTGTGCGACAAAGACAAAACATAGAGCCGACAGTTTGTTTAAATACATTTCTGTTTAGATATCGAAAGCATATTGTGACTGTAATAAATGATTACATTAAAAGGCACACCATTATAATGCGACAAGAAATAGTAAAAAGAAATATTAACATAATAACAAAAATATTCAAACAAACCGTTGACGTATAAACACACAAAAATAACACCTTTTCAGGAAATTATTTGAAAGAAATAATTAAGTAAATACTCCAATTAACTTCTTGTTTTTTTTTAACCACCGGTCAGTTGCACAAACGGCAATTAAGGTTTAATGACACCTTTAAGCTCTGATGGATGTCAAGTTTGTATTTGTAATGTGCCATTTGCACAAATATTTCATTAAAATTGACATTAGTTTATAGGGAAATTACCCATTTTTTTGTGCAACTAAATGTTATAAATCAATTACAAGTATGACATACTTAAAAGGCTGGAATAATTAATCTGAATATTTATAATTAATCTTAATCTTTATCAATAATTTGTTATTATTATTGGTCCAACCGACTTAAGAATGTTTATGTAATGTCTAAAGATTTAGGTAATTAGGTTCTCAAACGTGGTGTTTGCATTAATGACCTTCAAATTGGAACCCAAACTGTGTGACTTGCCAGAAAAAAATTAGAAAAGACCAGAAAAAGCTGATCCCAAATATTTATATAACTCAATATCGGCAATATAAATGTCGTGGTAATTAATCCAATCTTTCGGTAACTATTAATTAAAGGTAGATAGTGAGAGAATATAAAACAAACTGGAACCAAATTAATTAAATTACGACGATATACTGAATAAAATGTTTCATGATGTCACATCTTTGTACGTTTCCATTTGTGATATAGCGAGCTTACGCTCCTCAACTTGAATGCCTGTTACCTAAGCCATTTCTTGTTAAATTGAAGCAAAAAATACGTATCTAATATTTTTCATGGCTCGACTGATTAAAAAAAAATCTTTCTTTTTTATTCCTTTCCTAGAGATCATTTTTATTTCCTTGAAAAGGTGTTTTTCATAACTGCACTCATATATTAAAACAAGCACACAATCCATGAAGGAACATTTAATAAGCTAAGCACAGTCAAAGCTGTGAATTGTGTGCAGTGCTATGAAATTTTACTAAATGTTACTTCAAAACAAAATCAAATGAGTTATTAACAAAAAGTTAGGTGCCAATCGTCAATGAAAACTTCTTATAATTTAATGCGCAAAGTTAAATAAAAATGAAATTGAACAGTCCACACCAAAGACTTCTATGTATTATATTAGACAAAGAGTAGACGTAATTACGACTCAAAAACCAGGTTAATACATTAACCATCTCGTAAAAGACTACAAACATTTTTGAGAGCGAAAATGTGAGAGAGAAATTCAAAATATAAATTATTTCAGTTCCTTCAGATTAACACTTAGTTTAATTCACCGGTTAACTGCTCAATAAACCGGTTAATTTCGCTCAAATACTTCAATAATTGCGTCCATCTGTTCTATCTGGACATCTTCGCACTCACGCGCTGCTCTTTGTTAATGATAAGTAATCAAAAACCAGGTTAATACATTAGCCATCTCGTAAGAGACTTCAAACACTTTTGACAATGTTTCCATTTGAAGAATAGAAATTAGTTATTCAAATTAAAAAAATATCAGTTCTTTCTGATTAACACTTAGTTTAATTCACCGGTTAATTGCTCAATAAACCGGTTAAATTCGCTCACAGACTTCAATAATTCTCTCCATCTGTTCTAGCTGTACATCTTCGCACTCACTCTATTTTATCTTTAATCCCGACAATATTTTTACAAGCAATAGATTCTGCAAATATTGCGAAGTTTAATTTACCGCTATGTTAATTCTGAACAATTTTCTAATAGCATACATATAGTCTTTGGTCCATAAAAGTGCTGCTGACCTCAGGTCTTTAGAATGTTAAATTTTAGCTCCATGAAACTAATAAAAAAGTTTAAAAACAAAACACTAAGCTGCTTCAGTAAACGAGTTTTTGCAAATTTATATTTTGCAATGCACGTTTTAAAATGTATTATTATTGGTAGAACCGGTAATTATATAATGAAACCCTTTAAATTATCAGAAACTCATTGGATTATATAATTTGTGATAATCATTACATTCACGATGCCAAATCGATATTTATATTATGGATTCTAATCAAAAAATGAAAAATACATATGTATCTTAATTGAAAGTTGAAATATTTATGAAAAATGTCTTTGAGCTATTTAAAATAGCCTGGACATTGGTAGCTCACTTCACTAGTAGCGAGTGTAATAACACTTTTAAAAATTAGTCTCGCTTAAGTCTTGGATAGTTCTCAATAAAATAAATAATAAAATACAATGCCCGGCACGAAAGTAAATCCAACATGGCGTCCACTGCGCAGGTACGAGTATAATCGGAGTAAAAATTGAAACGAAAAACACTTATTCTTAAACGACAAAAAGTTTATTAAAACAAAGGACGCATTTAGAACGACATTTACCGGTTAATAACATTTACATTAACTACATCATCATCATCACCAGCCCTTTTACGTCCCCACTGCAGGAGCTCCTTAACCATCCATAAGGAAAACCTGAGCTCCTGCAGTAGGGACGTAAAACATCACGTGATTACTGGACGGCCCCACAGATAAAACCACTTTAAACAAAGGTGCATTTGCAAATGGCGGGAAATGAATTTGTAGGGAAACGTCAAGCGCCGAATGACGGTTATTACTATGGTTCAGTTTCCCGCGCACACCTTAGCTCCTTCGATAGCGATTTTTTTTTCGTTTTCTGCGCAGTGTTTACTTTAGTGCCGGGCACATACATGTTTTGAGAGCTACGGAATAAATTTGGTATATATTTGTTATTTAATAAACATACCTTGTCGCTATTATGATGGTATTGGTAAGTCTTGAGGTAGGTTCCTAGCGATAATATCTCGCACTGTGGACAACTCTTGTCCGCCATGTTGCGAAGTAAGTACAACATATGAATGAAATCCTCGGCTACGTAATGATCCTCTTCAAGGAATACTACGGGACCTTAAAAATTATATCGAATAATTTGGTATTATTTAAAAGAAAATAGGATTTTTAAAAAGTACCGTGGCCGAATTGTTTAATTATAAAATATATCACAGTCGCTTTCAAATGTATAGCGCTGGCACAGCGATTTATGGAATCGTGTAACTTTTTAAAGTCACAAATGTCACAGACAATTCATTTCGTTTGACTTTTCCCAATAGGTAAGCGAAAATGGGTGTCGTATCTAGTCGATAGAAGTAATTACTTGAAAATGTCATAATTTAAGCAGATATTTTATATTAAATTAACTAGAATTTGAATGATATAAGAATTGTTAATATTAAGAATACTGTCATTATTAGCTTACACTTATCTTACAACACTCAAATAGGGATGATGATAAATTTTTATTTGTTTGTCCGTCAAGTAGAGTGTTAAAAAATATTAAACACGTATTTTTTTATTTTTTTCGTAATCATAAAATTACGGCGTTACATGGAGTTGAAATTTCGCATGACGTCACGTTATGGTACGTTTTCTACTCAACTGTGACGTAGCGAGCCCCCACTACTCAACTTTAATGCCTGTCATCTAAGCTATTTCTCGTTAAATTGAAGTAATAAAAATACGTATCTAATATTTTTCTATTATCTGACTGACGGACTAAATAGAATTGCATTTTTTCACCCAGTCGTCATCCCTATTCTATTGGATAAAAATATTTGCATAAGTTATGACCAGTGGTCGGAATTAGGTAGAGTTATTCATGTACTTACACTGATTTCATACAGCGAAAGAATAAAGTGGATATGCCTCAAATCCCGAGATTAATTCTAAAGAGCAGAAAAAATCCCGTGATTTTTTTAATAAAAAGTTATTTACTTTTACACAATTTAAACTACTACACGCACGACGTTGCCAAACTTACATCAATGAAAGAAAAAAATAAAGAAAGAAGAATAAAAAAAATAAAGAAATCCCGGGTAGGTCCATATTAATATCAACATTTCGATGCAAGTACATAAATAACTCTACCTAATTCCGACATCTGGTCATAACATATGCAAATATTTTTAACCAATACAATGACATTTTCTCAAATAATAAAATTTCAACTATAGATATAGATAGTTTAATGTGTGCGCGCGCCGCTATGTTTGTAATGGCGCAGCTTTCATTTGTATGACAGTGACGCTTCAGTCACAGTGTAAATATAAGTAGACAGTGGTGAAACTGCCTACAAGTGTTCGAAATCGCACGCACACATAAACACGCTCACCGACGAGCCGCCTAAGTGGACCTAACAGGACGCTCAGTAACGCGTATCGCGTCGAGATGAAGAGTCATGTTACACGTTCCGCGATCGTTTTTATTTAAAAAATCAAGGAACGTAGTAAGGTCCCACCCGAAAATGCTTGATAAACATCCAAAAGCAGCCGTTCATGAGCGCGCCACCTAAATCAGTGCCCACCTACCACGCGTCCGATCCGAAGAGAGCACGAAACGTTGGACGTTTCGTGCGCTCTTCGGCTGTGTGTTCGTCAAAAACTTGTACAAGGTTATGCCGTAATGTCAAGTTAAAGATCAACATAAAAACAACGATTTACAAGTTGTGTCAATATTAAAATATTTCTCGTATGTTAAACTATCGTCTTTTGCTGAGATTAATCGATTTTTAACCGACTTCAAAAACATTCAAAATGACAACCCTATGGTTTCAATGGAGTGTAGGTATTTATTTTATCAAATAGGCTTAGTTTCTATACTGTGTCATTCTTATACTGTGCTTCAGTAGTCGACCGAGTGACGCGTGTTCTTGTCGCGTTTTTGCACGAGTACAGTCGTTAACTAAAGTGTCTTGTTTTTCACCGACATTTATTTTTGACATTGACGGATTACATATTTTTAGTCATGGTTGTAAGGACATAATCTGAATGTTCATATTTTATTTTTTCTAGCATCTTAACATTTATTTTCCAAATTTAAGTTGTTTTTAAGAATCCATCATAATTATATTTTAAAACAGCATAATCTATACTAATTTACAATTAAGTTTATTAAATTACACCTCGTTAGAGTTATCGTTTTTTATTTTCATTTTGTTGAATTTATAGTGTTTGCAGTTGACTGTACCTCATGACTAGTGTTGCCAGGCGTCCCGTATTTCATGCATAAATTCAAACGTCCCGACGGGACCGACTTTGTCCCGTAATAAAAACTAAATTAACAACCATATTCAACTACGATTTTAATTAATTTTTATTATATCAAATACAACAAAAAATATGTAATATATATAAAAAGTAAACAATTTGGTTTTTTATTAATCCCTTACAGACTGAAAAAAACTGGCAGCCCTACTCATGACACGTATAAGGTCACTCATATACAGTACAAGAATTACCAACACATAACACCGCGGGCACAAATGAGTCTTACTATAGCAGTGTAAGTCTGCAGGTTAAATATGTATATGTCGATCGTTTGATTTAGTTTCTTTTATTTTAATTGCTAGTTACTCGACTACTTAATTACTCGATTGTAGAGAGAGCGTGATCATCGATACTTTTAATTTTATTAGAATGGTGACACTGACTTTGACAGTTCGTTAATAAAAAGCAAGTTGCCGCCATTTTGGCACATATTCTGTTTCCGATCACCGAGGAGTAAAGACATCCGACGACATCACGCTCATCTCGTTATATTTTCGTATGAAAAGTGATAAAATGGAACAAATCCACGTTGGTATACACGCCTGCAGTGTTATTTTAAAGATAGTCCTCCGATATGGACCATCTATTTGAGCTTCGTAATAGCCCATTCAGACTACCCGCCGACATATATATATATAATTACCTGTGTGTCCAATAGTGCACTGTAGTTGATTGAATATCCTGTTAGCTTTCCACCACCAATGGTGTTTGGTCTGAGTGTATTTCGCTTCTCTGTAATGGCCGTGCAAATCAGGATGCAGGGCGTTATTACATTGTAACTTTACAGCTCTGGAAAACAATAATAGGCTAATTTTTATTTTATAAATATATAGTCCATTAATATCTGAGAAATAATGTAGAAGTAACATCTTGTCTGCGATTAATAGTTTCGGAGATATTGTGCTGTGTTTGTAGAATTGCTGCTGACCGGCCGAAAGCGTTCTCTACAAATCCAATGCACTGACGTCACAGTGCAACAGTAGCGAAAAACGTATGGACGTCTGAGCAATCTTTGTAATATCTTTATTATTTGTGCGTTTATGTTTATAGCTGTTATAATTAAAGTTGTAACTGTAACGATATATATAACTTATTTAATGCCATATGTATTTTAGCAATTTTTTGTAGTATACCTTCCCTACGTTATTAAAGTTTTCAAAGCGCAATATTTTCCAAAATATTGCTATAAAATTTATTATTTAATAAATATAACAGAAACCTGTATTCTCACTTGTAGAACACGATCCTATTATAATTGATATTTAAATTGAACTCGTAACAGACGGTTAAGATGTTGTAATGATATCTTAAGATAAAATATCGCTCGCCAATAATTCCAATGACCCAAAACACTCGGCTACGATAATATCATATTAACATATTAAGTATCTTAAGATGAATGAATGATTAATAATTTTATTTGCATATATCACACATACACATACCGGCAATTATAAATGAAATGAAATATCTTTATTCAAGTAGGCTATTACAAGCACTTTTGAATCGTCCAAAAAAATTTTATTCCCCTACCACTTGTTCAGGACGTCTACCTCTTGTTCAGAAAAATTGAGTGAATACAATGTATTGGATTAGGAAATAATATAGGTATTAAAATTAAATAATAATAATAAATTAAATCATGTTTGTTTAGTATTAAAATTGATTAATATTAAGGCCAATGACAAAATGTTGAAAAACAATTATTATATTAATGAATGTAATTAATTAATGTAACAGTACTTACTGATCAAATTTTGCGTCCCTCGGGCAATCGTTCAGATCGGTGCCAGGAAACTCGTGGGGATGCGTTTGTATGGAATATGGATAGAAAATTTGCATTACCTGAAAAATAATACAAACCATACATATATTAATTATACTTACATTGGAAGGTAAACACAAGAACAGAACAGTAAGTCATTCAGCAAGCAGTCAACACCACAGGCACCTTCATACATTTCTCAAACCTAACAATACATCAAAGTGTAACAAATGGCGGTCTTATCGCTGAAAGCGGTTTCTACCTTTACCTTTGGACGGAGAGGAACGTTAATTGTAACGGAACGAGGGTGTAAACTTAGAATAGGCACCTGAAGTTGACAAATACAATATACTTGCATAAATGCATTTAACATAATATAGAATAATATCTTTAATAGTATATTAAATAATACCACCAGTTCCGTATTGTATAAGATGTGATTTTATTATATGCAAAGACCTCGTGAAATAGATAAGTATACTGACCAACTTTTACTATGACTGTACCACTGAATTCACCAAAATATAATCAGCTGTTTCGTAACAAAATTGTAATTTATTTATTTATGTACATGGCTAAACAGCTAAAAATTACAAAATTACAATCTTATATAAAACAGACAGCCACTTACAGGTCGTCACAGATAGACATAGTATAAAATAAAGAAAGACCGCTTACTATCACGACAATGATGTAGACTACGCTGCTTACGCTATAATTAAATTTATAATACTATAGATTTAAAAAAAATAGGTTACCTATAATGCGCTTAATTGACGCTTCGCTAGTGTTAAAAAGGTCGACGTTTATTCGCTTAGATAGTTCATTAAATCTATTGCACGCACGCCACAGAAAGGAATTCTGTCTAAATTTTGATGAGGCTGGGGGTAAATATAATAAGGGATTGAACCTGAGTTGTTTTTGTGGGGCCCTAAGAGCGATCTTTGGCAGGAGTTCAGGACAATCGACAGCACCACAAGCAATTTTGACGAGAAAAACTAGATCGGAGATGTCATGTCGATTTTCTAAAGAGTCGAATTATAGCGTTGTTTGGAACGAAAAAATCGCCAAGAGTGTGAAACAGCTGATTATATTTTCGTGAATTCAGTGTTGCAATCCATAGTAAAAGTTGGTCAGTATACTTAACTCGTTCACTCCACTAAGTTCTAGCATATAATAATAATCAACTGCTGTTCGTTTGTCTCGTTAACGGCTGGGCCGATTAAGCTGATTTTGGTTTCGACATGTCTGTCGTAGTCCAGGGAAGGAACTACACTGGACCGCAAAGAAAACGGGTCGGTTAGAAAATCTTCAATAACTTGAAAACTACCTCACCTAGCTTTATGAAATAAAAACTCAATTAAAGAATATTTAATGTTATTTAACATAGTATATAAAACCTTTTTATTTACTTTAGACAATTGTGTAAGAAAACTGGCAATGAAGATAATGGTTGTTTTTCAATTTAGTTCTAAAAAAATCAAAGCATTTGTTTTAGTTTTGACATAAAAACTACAATAAATATCGTGTGTTTGTCATACAAAAATTGTATTCTGAAGTCATCATGTCGTTAACCCCTGAAGAATGCACCAGGATCCTGACAATGCTTGAAGATGGGCGCAGTCAGCGCAATACAGCGAGAACTGTTGGTGTGAGTCTTTCCACAGTTCAGCGGGTACTCCAGCGTTTCCATGAAACTGGATCCAACCTATGAAGACCAGGAACAGGCCGAACGAGGTGCACGACTGCGCGGGAGGATCGCTATATGGTGTCAACAATTTTGAGAAATCGATTTCTTACGGCGGTTGAGGTAAAAAATCACCATTTACGAGCTGGAGGAAACTATCTGAGTACAGATACAGTAAGGCGACGTCTGGCTGAAGCAAATTTGAGACCATTAAGGCCTGCAAATGGCCCAAAATTAGAAAGACACCACTTAAACTCAAGGCTGAGTTATAGCAGAGAACACGAAACTTGGACTCTGGATGACTGGTCAAGAGTTATGTTTTCAGACGAGTCTAGATTCTGTTTATACAAGCACGATGGGAGGAAAAGAGTGTACCGAAGGCCGGGAGAGCGCTATAACCAAGCTTGTATAGAAGAAAAAGTACCATATGGCGGTGGCTCTATACACGTGTGGGCTGGGATTTCTTCCGAAAGCCGTACTGAGCTAGTAGTGATAGAAAATGGCAGTTTAACAGCAGAACGATATGTGAATGAAATTCTTAATGACTATGTTGGTCCATTTTTAGTAGATATGGGCGAAAATGCTGTTTTTATGCAAGACAACGCCCGCCCGCATACAGCTCAGATAGTGTTCGACTATTTTCACGAAGTAGGTATCACATGCATGGAGTGGCCAGCACGAAGCCCCGACTTAAACCCCATCGAACATGCATGGGACGAACTGGGACGACGTGTACGTCAACGGAATCCGCCGCCAATCACGCTGCGTGAATTGAAAGGAGCTTTGATCGAGGAATGGCAGAACATTCCGCAGCATCGCCTTAAAAACCTTGTGGAAGGTATGCCGAATCGCATAGCCGCAGTTTTGCAAGCTCGTGGAGGCAACACGAAATACTAACATGCGTAAAAACGTCACATCTTTATACAATTCATATTTACGAAAATGTCAGAAAAACTACCTTTTTCATTCGTTTGACATTTATTGAAAATAGACAACTTTTAATTTGTATTTTTTTATATTCAATAAATTACAATAATCTTTAATTTAGTTTTTATTTCATAAAAATAAGTTAAGTAGTTTTCAAGATATTGACGATTTTCTAACCGACCCGTTTTCTTTGCGGTCCAGTGTAATTGGCTAGGTATATATCGACGCTGGAAAGCTAATACGTAATAACCAGCAAAACCAAAATGGATATTTTAAGTGGAAAATCTTTTTATTTAAAAACAATATATATATCTTATTTGCGTATAAATTGACTAAGCAACACCTTAGGGGTCGTCCATAAATCACGTGAGGCTCGAAAGGAGGGGGGGAAGGTATTCGTCAAAAATCACGAAATATCACCAGGGGATTGGGGGGGTGGAGGGGTGTATAATAATATTCGCGTGTAGCGACATCAAATTTTTTTTTTTATATATACACGTGATTTGGTTGAAGGAGGCAGGGAGTAGCCTTAAACCTCACCATGTGATTAATGGACGGCCCCTAATTTGTTACCAAGGACGTTTATAGGAATTATTTATCGAAAAAAAAGTGTTTCTGCTCTGAAGAACAATTTTGGTTTTGCGGGTTACTACTTGTTTGCTTTCCAGCGTGCACTCATGCAATCGCATGCCGCCATTCAATTTAACGGCCAGCCGTCTTATTGAGCCGATTCCTTAATGAATTGGCCGGATATATACATCATAATGTTTGTCAGTTATATAATCGAATGCCGCCATTCAACTTAACAGCTAGTCGTCTAATGAACTGCCGTTTTAACTAATTAGCTGGTTGCATATGTATATATATCACAATGTCCGGCAGTGTGCGTGTACTTACCTTTGTAAAATCTATACTCCTGACCAGATTATTGATTTCCTCGTCGTAATAATCATGAGAGAATATGAGCATTGTTTTGTCTATGTCGCGGGCTTGCGCCAACGACACTATTAGATGCCGTAAGTATGTCAGCCGAGTGTGAACCTGTGGACAATGAAATCCAAATTCAGCCTTTATCGTTATCAACCCCGTTTCCATACGTTTCCACTCCACTCAGGCCAGTGGCGTAACAATACCGTTTGAGGCCCTTGGCAAAGTCATTCAATTTTTTTGACTGAATGCGTAAATATCAGGAGTAAGGAGTCTCTGACCGAGGGCTACCAGCTGGGGGCCCGCGGCATTTTGCCGACTTGCTACCCTGTAGTTACGCCACTGGCTCCTTCCTTACAGATGGTTAAGGAGGATAGACCATGACCCTCCAGACTGATCTAAGGATTGGTGGGTATTAACGACAGCAGATGAAGCGGGTATATTATTTTAATTTATAGGACAAACAGTAACAGACGATTATATCTGATCAATTTGTCATTCGTAATGCTATACTGAAAATTATTCTTAATGAAAATTGCTTAAAAAAAACTTACTACTTTGTCTCATATAAGAGCGCTAGGGATTAAATTAATACTGTAACATAGAAACCATAGAAAATAAGGATTAATGATTGTATAATAAGGTAACATATCCTCCATATAACTCCTGGATGCTTGAACAATAAATGTAAGGGAAATAAATAGGTATACGAGTCGTAAGATGTAAATTTGTATTATATAAGAGTTTACTAATGGATCAAGGAGAAAAATGTGAAATAATATAAAAATGAAATGGTAAATGGAACCAAGTGTAAAGTAATGTATAAAAATATTTTGAACAGGACAAAAATGTAAAACGTAAACGCAGAAAATCAAAATATAAAAAATGATACCATGAAGAAAATTATGTAGTAGAATAAGCTATATGAAGGTTATATAGTAGTTTAATAATGGAAGAAGTAATAAAAACCGTGTGCCCATTCGTTAATAAAATAAAATAAAGACAAAATAGAAAATTCTGTAGAAATAGATAAATGAGACAGACCCCAGTCGCTCGAAGGGTGAAAGAGAAGTATAAAAGAAAGATGAAGTAAGACAGGTAGAGCTAGAGCGAGAACTGGTATGAAAGGGAAGAAGAAACTAAAGTCCCGCTACTGAGTGGGGGGAAATTAGGAGCTCGGCCAAAGATTGTAAGGCCGGTATTAAAAAAAAAACCAAATGAACAATGTACCTATAAACCTGAAGCCAGCTACGTTTATCTCAGATAAAGTAACAAAAGCACAATACGTTTGTATTCACAAACTTTCTACGTTTATTAGTAATATTATTTGTATGGAGTAAATCAATTAGGCGTTTTCACACTGCGACCACAACGACGCGACATTATACTCTTATATCGTTTAGATCGGACGATAAATATATCGTCACGATATTGGTATGTGACACGATATAACCACACGATACCAAAAGTGGAATACAATATTGGAGGTAATAATTGCAGCAGTGAAAATGTTACATTTTCGCTTTAACATTTATATTTATGGTAAAAAATTGTCTTCTTCTTCTTCTTCTTTAATTCATGGCCTATTTGCGTTTACACCATTTCGCCAACGTCACGTTTGTGGTCTTTACACGTAAAGTCAATTTTGAGTTTAAATAAAATAAAACTCTGAGCTGAGTCTATCTGATTACATTGTTAAAGATAATACAAATAGAATGTATATAGAAAACAAATATATTTATAAATTAAGACGTCACCCCGATATCGGGACGACAATCTGTCAGCGACGATAAACGACACAGTGTGAAACAAGGAGTAAAAGTATTTATAAGTATTTATGTAAGGAAAGCATCAAGTAGTGATTGTATAACAATACCAGTACGACGATATACATTTATCGTGTAGTTCCGTTAACGTCCAATTTGAATATTGAAGAACTACGTCCGCGTCTAACTAGATCTGGGCGACGAGGCCGTGTACCGTCTTGTTATGTTTAGTATATTAGCTGTGTATAAGTGCACAACTCACTCTTGACCTCTATTCTAATCTATTTTTATAAACACGGAAGATTTGGCAGTATGGCTCAATTGCCTTCGCCTGTCCTTAGAGGACGAAGTTTACTACTACTGTAGTCTATTGTTTATGGTTCGGAGGAACGGGCAAATTGAACCAAAAAATAAAATGTTTATGGTTCGGTCTTTGAGCCGTCATGAAAAGAATTTAAACATTATTTTACAAGCTTATGTGATTTTTTTGCAAAGATTACAGTTTAGTTATTTTAATTGTATTTAAGTTTTATTAAACAATTCGTCAATTATAATAGCGTGTCTTCTGTGCCAAGGGCCATAATCAGACTCGCGCTATAATACGCCCAAACCAAAGAGAACAAGAAAGAGAATTCTGTCAAAGAGTATATAATGTGACTTAAAATATGACATGGCTGTATGGATAAAAGTCCTTTACCTACCCTGAAATGGGTGAACAATTTAAAAAAAAAAGTATATAATGTCACAATCGCGTCATGTGTCACTACAAAAACATACTTGATATTATTCTACTTTGATATTATATTTTTACCAGTCACCCGTTTAAGAGTCATTTAAAAAACTATGGACGAGGAAGAAGCAGTCGTTGTGGTTAGTATTTATTACAATATCGTATCGCAGGAGTGGGGGCATTATAGACCTTCTCTACGGATGGAATCGGATAGAGCAGGCCACCACGAAGACCCAGTGTGGATTCCTTGGTGTTCATGACTGCGACAAGCGAGTAGCTCGGTGGCGTAGGGGCCAACGATCGTTGTTGTTAAGCAACATTCGCAAAGGTCGGTCACGGGATGGGTGACCAAAAAAAATATTTCGGAAGGCACGTTAAGCCTTTGGCCCCGGCTCTATTGCAGTCGTTTATGGATGGTTATGGAGGATAGGCCGGATAGTCATGATGGCCTAACCATCCATAAGGAATGTCAGATCCCCTACAGTGAAGATATAAAAGGGCTAATGATGACGATAATGAGAAGCGATAATATTTTTGGTCACCCATCCAATGACAGCCATTGCGAAAGTTGCTTAACTTTCGCAATGCGAGGACGCGCTAACCACTGCACTTTCAGACCGCCAGAAAGTCTGAACCGGCCCGCCCTAGGAGACGACCCAAGAAGATTGTGATACCACGAAGGGAACCGTCTGTCGTGATACCGGGCCGTCAGATCATCTTCATAACACCAGATAAAACTACATGCGTTGAGTGCACATGCTTCCCAAAGGAAGATCCTTACGTCAAACCTAAGTATACCACCACCGAGAATAAGTTTCATCATCATCAACCCTTTAACAATCGACTGCAGGAGCTCAGGCCTTCCATTTGGATGGTTGAGGAGGATAGACCATAAATCTTCACGCTGGCCCGAGGCGGAGTGTTAACGATTGGAAATACAGCCGAAACCAACGGCTTAGCTCGTAAGGACAGCATAGCTCGAGAAAAAAAAAAATTTTTTTTGGTCCACCCATCCCTTGACCGACCCTTGAGGAGGTTGCTTAACAACAACGATCGCGGGCCCCGGCGCTTATCGATTACACGACCGAGCTGTTCGCTACTCAAGGGCACTTCTAACGAATACACAACATAGGATTTCTAAAGTTTTTACTTGTAGCGACATCTAGTTTTTTTTTTTTAATACTTCCTCATTTCAGGCCACGACTGCCTTTATTTTTCGCCACACTAATCCATGAAATCGGCACTAGGAAGTTATAGGATAGTAATATATTTAACGTTTACTGTAATGTAATAATGCTGCATAAAAAACTGTTTTCTATAATGTGATAATGCTGCATATTGTTGTCAGAAATTTGCGGTAAAATACGCTCTACGCAGCACCTCCCTCACCTCTTTTGACTCTTTTACTTTTTTCATGTGTTCTGTGTCACTTCCCACATCAATCTGATTAAGACAGGTAGCCTGATGCGCATACCCCATTGTACTGTCTAGGAAATTAAATCCATGTCAGAAGTCACCACTGACACTTTACGAGCTGGCAGCGACGGTGGTGGACCAATTAAACTTCCCTGAAGCCCTCTCCTGGAGCGAACATGAAGTAGCGGAATGGATGGAAAACATAGTCGGTCTGCCTGAGTACAAGGTATTAACCGAAGCGCGGCAAATGTGTACCAATAACAATTATTCGAGTATCACGCTTATTCGTATATTACGTTATCGGGTGATCCACCAATAAATCACGCGCCCTTAATGAGTGACTTGAGTACCGTAGAGAGCTGAAAGTTATCAATGCCTTGTAGAAAGCAACTCGCTGGCTACTCTTACAACGCATCCGGGATATGAAAGCAAAAATATGGTATACCTATTTTTAAATACATTAATCAAAAATATTTCTTTTTGCTGTTTGGGTGTGGATTGCCGGAACATTGATGAGAATACGCTTTGTAATTGCGAAAAAGCAACAAGTGCTTGAAAGATTCGTGAGTTCTGTTAGTTCCTGGGTAGTTCAATGATTAATGCAGTCACCCAGGTTGCGAAAGGTGGGTTCGAATACCATCTCAGGGTGCCAGGAATCAAGTGGATTTTTTTAGCATTTTTCATTAAGAATATTCTTATACCTATGTATATTTATATCATCCTTTGGATTTTTTCAGACTTATGGCCTAGTAGTAATAGTAGTAGACGTAAAAGCTCTTCCAATCTTTACCGTGAACGAAATATAATATAGTTCATATGCAATGATTTCAGGAGTGCATCTTCGATAACTACATCAACGGAATGAGATTGCTAATGCTCGAGGATCCTTCTCATTTACCTGCCATCAACATCCATGACTTTCAGCATATAAAAGTAATTTGTTAATGATAATCCATGATAATGATAATGAGTAGCAGGGTGGCGTAGTAGATAAGCGCCGCGGCTCGCGAACGTTGTTGTTAAGTAATTTCCGCAAGGGTCTGTCGCTGGATGGGTGACCAAAAATTGCTATTTCTAGCTACTCCGTGCTTCGGACGGCGATTACCCTCCAATCCGCATTAGGCCAGTGTGGAGGGTTATGGCCGTCCGTTGTCTTAACCATCTATAAGGAAGGCCTGAGCCCCTGCAGTAGGGACATAACAGGGTTGATTATGATGATGAATGTTAATAATCCGCATAGTTGACTTCTGTGACGTGATCTATTGCATAGGCCAGTAGCGGGTTCAGAATGCGCTTGGTCTTTTGGTGGTTAAAGACGACAGAGTTTATTAATTATCTGTACGTGTAGCATTAAGGATTCAACTCGTGAGTGAGATAGTGTTGATATGAGTATGACAAACTGGAGAAATATTTAAAATTTCAATGCAAAGTCTAAGGGTTTCAGGCCCGGATCTACAACTATTTCCAACCGGAGCAGAAACTTTATATTACTTATCAGGTCCTGGGGATTTGGGTGGGTGGGGAAGTGAGTCTACTCTGTTCGTCCATGAACGCGAAATTTTGAAATTTTCAGATCGTTCTATTTTGTTGCAATCAGAAGCAGAACCAGATCCTATCTCCATTTTGAAGGGATCATTCCTTTTTGTTTACCATACACTTGGTATCTGACTGGTTTAAAGGTACGAGTAGATATAAGATACAATCCTCTGAAGAATATTAATATACTATATTAATATTTTTCAGAGGATCACAGCCAATGTGAGAAGGGAGTTCAGTACGGAATTTATCAGATTCTGTAGAAGTATCGGACTACCACCGAGGAAACCACTAACTCATTGCACCTGGTTTAAATCTAGGACCAGTCCCAGCTGGGGTATACACCGGAACTGGTCTAGGTTAGTACATCAACATATTCTATTATATACCGAGGCTGTCTGGAAAGTGACTTCATAATCTGATGTAGCACTTTCCAATAAGAATTCACTGTATGATAGTAAAATTTAGGAGAACACAGCAGCCCTTGCTGAGTTTCTTGCCGCCTTGTGCGTGTATGAATGTCCAAAACTAAGTCTTAGTGAAAAAAACTAAGTGACAGTCTAGACTGAATGAATTATATTGAATTTAGCTAGAGCTCGGGAACGTGTGACCTATTTCTGCTTCTGCTTCAATTTCCTTTTTCTCCTCCCTTCTTTCCCATTTTTGCTTCAATATGATTTATCAATCAGGATCGGTCCAGGATTGAACAGACCAAGTCTAAAACACGTAGTAAGAGCCACTGTTTAATTAACTATCAACATTATCAGTCTCTTACTACTGGAGGACAGGCCTTCCCTATGGATGGAATAGGCCACCTGAGCTCGGAACCAGACCAGATTGATGGGTGTTAATGACTGCAGATGCAGCCGGTACTAACGGCTTAACGCGCCTTTTGAAAACTCGAGAGATCATTAAGTAGCTTATAATAACCTCCATACATTTTTGGGAGCATTTTCATTTGGCTTTCGGTCATTTACTTCGTACGGTTAAAAAAAGCAAACCTTCGCCCGAATTCAATGGAAGATTCTTGCATTTTTCAAGAATCTTTATAAAAAGTACGTCTTTATTTAAGAAAAAGTATTTTTGCAGATCCGATATACTTCGATGGATGAAGATCATAAATCCTGAGCCGGTATATCGAGATCATTGGGACTTGGTTTGGTAATTACTATTATGCCGCTATCTAGTGGCAACTACGCTACGCTGGTGTTTAAGATACACTGTAATTTCTTCCTATGGACCTGCGGCTAAGAAAATCTATTGTGACTCGCCGCCAGAATTATGGGAGCTCTTTCAGCCTGATAGCCCCCAAAAAGTCTGGTATAGCTAGCTTTTATATCTTCAGATATATGGTTCGTTTGCGATTCAATTCAATGGTACACATTCACACGGGAGATTATCTGGAAATGTCAGTGTCACTAAATTTCATGAGAATTGGGTGTCTGTTTAATTTGCAGTGTTCGGTTAATGCTAGTATTTCAAAAGCTCAGCAGACAGTTTTTGCGCTGGCATTCGATTAGACACAAAGAGCGTGATTTTTCGCGACTAGTTATACGATTATTTTTTGAATCTCTTTGAAGGTACACCATCATCATCTCATTGATATCCCCAATAAAGCCTGTCTCATCTAGCTGTTGACAACTGCATCTACAGTTGTTAACAGCAGCCTAGGCCAATGGCTTAAAGTGCCTTCCGAAGCACGGAGGAACTCAAGATAATAATTTTCTGGTCACCCACCCTGTGACCGGCCCTTGCGAAAGACTTAAAAACGGTATCGCAGACGGAACGTGCTAACCACTCCGATGTTGAAGTTAAGTATATTCCTCATAGGTACCGCAAACCTGATTTTCCCAAAGAGAAATTCGCTAGGGTGAAAGCACCACCTTCGCGAGTCCACATACCTCACTACATAGCACCAGGGGAAGACACATGCCTGGAATATCAAGTAAGACTATAATTCGTACGACGGGTTTTTCGCTACTACAGAGAGATATATACACAACATAAATGGTACTCAAATGAATGAAATACATCACATTAATTGGCAAGATGGATAGGAGAATCAGTGTTGAATCGAAACAAATATCAACATCTACTTTTAAGCAGTTGTAACCCTTGGATTAAAGTGTACAAAATGAATACTTCATATATATTCCAGATTTTGGAGGCCTGGTTTTATACTCTACTACAAGCACAAGTATCCACAATAAGTTTTAATACTACATTGTACCTCTTTTGTATTAATTATTGTAGAGAAAAATAAAGAAACTATTATTATTATATTTTTCAGTATAGCATTGTTGCAAGCTTTCATTTTTACTTCAGACGCCTAGGAAGTTCAAGCTGTACAGGACAGACGAAGTCCAGCTTATTTGGATGGAACATCGACCGGGAAGCGCACCGCAACTTGTGGTACCAGACAAGAAGAAGAATGTGACGATCCCAAAGAAGACGAAACTTATGCCGAAGAAGATAAAGTTAGAAGGTTTAAAGGGTAAAGATCTATTGCTCGCTAGAAGGAAAATGCCGAAGCCAAAGTTTTTGGCGTAGTGTCGATCGGGAATGAAATTAATTCTCCAATATTGAAATGCTTTTTATTCTTTTAGTGAAAAATTTTATAATATGACATTCGACGTTGTGTATTCGACGAAAGATCAGTCGCGTACTAAAGCATTGAAATAAATTTTCCAATTTGCAAAATGCTTTTTTTTTCTTGTAGCACAAACGACAAATTATATGACATTTGACGTTGCACACTCGATGAAAGATCAGTAGACTACTAGCGTATACTTCCGTGATACAGTTGATGGAACTTCAGTCAAATTTGCATCGACCCTCACCGATTTTTTTATACTAGATGGTATAGTACAAACAGTCAGTGGCCTGGTTTTGGCCGTGTAACAAATTTGCGCGATACTGACCTCCGAAGCATCGTATTTTGAAATCATTTGGATCTTATTCTATCTGTTCAATAAAATAATCGTAGATAAGAGAAATTTTAAAATTATTTTCGAATTTAACCAAGACCTCAAACTACTATGCCAATAAATAATCTGCACTATTCAATAAGTCAAAATTATAAATATATTTTGGATTCTGAGATCACGAACGTCAAAATCTATAGTCGAGAAATAATTCGTTGTGACGAGAGTTTGAATGAAATGAGGTCTGTTAATGGCTAATAATAATAGTACTCTTAGTTCATTCAAATTCTTGTTAAATAAATTTCACTCAAATAGCTACTCGACTTCAGATATAGGCGTTAATATGGCTCTTAAGAAGCTTGGTGAACAGCAATGCGTACAGGGACGATAATGATATATCGGGCCCTCCTTGCAGGACACCAGGTTCTTGTGTTTTATCAGGTATTCCACATTAATCTGCCCTTTTCAGGGCGGGGTGGTAGGAAAGCCCCTGTTCAAGGCTCAAGGTGCATTTCTCCTGCGTTATCAAAAAAAAAAAACGATTGTGATTGAAAAGACTTATACATTACCTGAATCGCAATGATGATAGTGTCGTTCTGTACTGGACCGAATATATCCTCGTTGTAAATAGTTTGCGCGTCATTATTCCTTTGGATGGCGCGTAAAATGTCGGAGATATTCTTTGGACCCGAACGCTCCGTAGAGTTTGCTGAAACAAACAGCTCGAATTGAATATTATTTATTCCCGAGTTGCCGACTGCTGTAACTGCACTGGTGAATATGTTGTTTCAACCTTTCATGATAGGACGATCGTTGTTGTTCAGCAACATTCGCAATGTTCAGTCACGGGATGGGTGACCAAAAAATATTATCTCTAGTTATTTTCTGCTTCGGGAGTCACTTTGAGCCCTGAGTTATTCTATGCATAGGACCCTTTTAAGTTACCACTCTCTCAGGCCTTCCTTATTAACGACTGGAAATAAAACCGGAAGCAATGGCTTAACGTAGCTCGAGACAATAATTTTACGGTCACCCATCCCATGACACACCCTTGAGGAAGTTGCTTACAAACAACGATCACGGGCCGCAGCGTTTAACCACTACGGCATCGAGACACTAATGATGATAATGATGGTGTTGGTCGCGGTGATAGTGATAGTGACAGTGATAAAGATAACGATAACGATGACGATAACGATGATGATAACGATAATGATGATGATAATGATGATGATAATGATAATGGTAATGATAATGATAATGATAATGATAATGATAATGATAATGGTAATGGTAATGGTAATGGTAATGGTAATGGTAATGGTAATGGTAATGGTAATGGTAATGGTAATGGTAATGGTAATGGTAATGGTAATGGTAATGGTAATGGTAATGGTAATGGTAATGGTAATGGTAATGGTAATGGTAATGGTAATGGTAATGGTAATGGTAATGGTAATGGTAATGGTAATGGTAATGGTAATGGTAATGGTAATGGTAATGGTAATGGTAATGGTAATGGTAATGGTAATGGTAATGGTAATGGTAATGGTAATGGTAATGGTAATGGTAATGGTAATGATAATGATAATGATAATGATAATGATAATGGTAATGGTAATGGTAATGGTAATGGTAATGGTAATGGTAATGGTTATGGTAATGATAACGATAACGATAACGATAACGATAACGATAACTATAATGATAACGATAACGATAACGATAACGATAATGATAATGATAATGATAATGATAATGATAATGATAATGATAATTATAATGCTAATGATGGTGATAACCACTTACCAGAAACGTTTTTGTGATGTACAGTAAGATACTTGTGCAGTTCTGGTGGTACCAACGCTAACACTTGCTCCGACGTCTCGTTGGCGTTCATCAGCTCTTCTGAAATTGAAGAAATAAAGATATAAGTAACAAATTAATACCCAATCATGGCTTTTTATGGGTCGCAGGAATGTGATATCTGCCCTGCGATTCTGCAAAAATCCAAACTCAAATTCGAATTCACTCAGGTGTCTGAATCCATTTCAAAAAGCGCATCTCCCAATCTTGAATTGGTAAAACGTTTCAAGGCATAAGTGAAGTGAGTTTCGAATTCAGATTGGAATAGAATAATTAATCAATTTTGTTTTGTTTTTTTTTTATACAAAAAATGGAATCAATAGAATTTCTTCACTAAATGACATGAATTCGAACACATGAGTGAATTCGAGTTCGGGTACAGAGTTGTACAGAATCGCACTGCAGTCCTCAATAATGCTCAAATCATTGGGTATTTAAACAAATATCTGATTTTATTATATCACTGCCACATAAATACAGTACATCAATTTACGACAAAAGCTCAAACTCCATTCGACAATATTAACCCCTTAAATGTTGTAGGTGACTTGTGCTTTGTTTGGTGTACTCAAAGGTGACATGGTTTCCGAAAACCTCCGAAATTTTTGGAAAGGTTAAGGTTAAAAATCTATTAGACAAATGCCTTTATATGCAAACTGATGTATCGCAGATTATATTAAGTTACGCAACAGCAATACAGCCTTAAGTATGTCTAGTAAATAAATTAATTAAAAAATTTCCCATTCATTGCTCATATCCCAAGCAACGGACGCAGAAAAGCACTGTCTTTATTGGGTTAAGCTACATCTAGTAAATAATCGCTTAATACCGTCGTACTGTCCTATTCTATCGCTTGGAACCGCTTTTTATTAGAGCGAGATAGCGGATGTTAGCACCCCGCGGAATCCTTAAAGCGTTAGGCAATCTATCTTTCTTGCTCTAGCAAAAGGCGGTTTTAGAGCTACAGAAAAAAAATCCCATAAAAATCAATACCACAACCATTTATGTATTTATAGCTTTTTTTATTATATTAAAATAATCTAAATAAAAATTTCTTAAAAAATCCAATTTGACCCTGGCACTCTGAGATGGGATTGCACAAGGTCATGAGTCATTTTTTTGACTTTTATAATAATACGCCAGAGGTTCGCAAACATTTTTTTTGTCGTAGACCATTTTAAAAAATGTAATGGTTTCCGTGGACCCCCTGCTGCTACATTTTAACATTATTCCCAAAATTCGTCCAAAATGTAAAGATCTAACGATGGAAAGTGGCGCCCTATTTTTATTCCACGCCAACGTAAACCCCCGTTGAATCCCACGTGGACCCCTGGGGGTCCACCTAGACCACTTAGGGAATCACTGGTCTAAGCGAAGTTAGAGTTAGTCTTTGAAAGCTATTGGAAAATGTCAAATATCGAATCGTAACTAATAAATTATCTATGAAATTTATACCTATCATTCAAATCGTCATTCGCTTTGTTTCATCACTTTGATCGTTTGAAAGGGATTTTGTGTGTGATAAATTTTAAAATTAGATAATTTGATCACTGTATTTATATTACCTATTTATTTATAGACCAATAGCAACGACTATCGTATAAAGTAGGAAGTATTTAAAAAAAAACACATTAGTTCCCGAAATCAAACTAGATGTCGCTACGGTGCGTTCTTGATTTCTCCACGACAACCCTTCCGGTTTTCTTTCATGTTTAAAAGTAAATTAGTTTTCTAAACTCAATAAACAACTCATATTATATTTGTACTTTTTCGTATTTGTATTGACAAAGTTTCGAACTTTTCAAATTTCAGTTTTTTAATATGTCAGTTAAAAGGAATGGAAATGACTGTCTTCGGTCCATTCGTTTCCTGCAAAAATCTACTTTTGCTAGAATCGCATCTAGTGGAGGTGCTTTTTTAGTGCTTTCGTTTTTTTTTAAATACTTCCTCATTGACATAGACTCGAGGTTTTATTCATAAAAGAATAGCGCTGCAGTTACAAAACAAAACAGATATAAACTCAAAATTAAAAGAATATATAAAACCTTTCGTCGGATCCTGAGAATCCGCTATCTTTATTTGAATACCGTAATCGGGAATCTCTGAAAAGTTTGGAAAAAAAATCTCATTCAGTAAAGAAAGAATATTTGAAAAAGTGCCTCGAAACAAAACTAGATGTCGCTACCTACACAAGGGCAGCTCCAGCTTTGGCGCCAGAGGGAGGCTACACAATCGTGGTCAAGTCATAAAACACGTTAGGTAATTTATAAATTGTTAGAAGAAACGCATATTATATGTCTATTGTAATATGCTACATATTCCTAGTTACTTTAAGGCAATCAATATTAATTCCACTTTATACCGAGGTAACTAGACATTTTGATTTTAAATATGTTTTTAGTTCGAGAACTACAACATATTTAATACTAAAAGTCTCCAAAAGTTTGATATTATTATTAATAAATATTATTAAGAATTTTTATTAATTATTATATCTTATGTCTTCACTTAATTTATTTATTTATTCAATTTATAACTTTTTAATGTTTCATTGATTTTAGTCTGATAATTGAATGTATTCGATATTTTTTTTATTATTCGAACTTTACAAACGACGCATGTCAACGCCATTTACGAGTTCCAAACGTTTCAAGCATTAATAATTAATTAATTACACTACACTCGATTTTAAACTCATAATTAATAAAATTAGGAATTATATTTTGTTTTAATAACTTCATGTGTAGTAAATTTTAGTAGGAAGCCGTTTTTGGAAATAAAAAGAAGAAATATAAAAATAAAATAACCATTTTTATATAGATCTGACTTTAAACTTCAAACAACTAAGCAGTAACTTATATTCTATTGATATCGGGCGAAGATTTAGTAGGTAATTAAATGGTGATGGTGTACTTTAAAAGCATTATTCATTCAACATATTTATTTGTTGGATTAATATTCGGAAATACACTTCCAATCATAATATTCTTTGCTATAATTAACGAGGGCAAAGTCGCAGGAAAACATTAATACAATATGTTTGAGAATAAATGAAAAATTTACCTCCATCTCTGTATATTCCGCCACTGGACGCCGACAGCATTATCTGCACCCATAGGCAGAACAGCCCGATTATCACAAATACTCGCACCACCGAAGCATATTTTAACCGTGGCATCGTTCACACGACAGATGTCGCTGAGATCATCATTCTCGGCCACTCAGTTACGGCTTGCGTTTGTTAGATGGCGTTGCAATTAATTTCGCTTTGTATAATTTCCGTTGATGCGTCATTTACAGGCACTCGAATTATTGATCTGTTAGAAATATTTGTGTTATATGTAATCCTTTCATTATAATTCTATCTTATTAATAAAAGATGGCGCTTTTGACTAGATGCACTTGGTAGATGTTTCTTTCTTAAATCCTGAAGAGGTTTTGGTTGACCTGAAACAAAAAAAAAACATGTTTAATGAATTCTAAACAATGAGATCAAAACTTATAATACATCACTAACGCTGTTTACACATTAGCAGGCGATAAAACTACAACACAGATGACGACAATTTTTTAATAAATATATATTTTAAAATATTAAACACGTGTTTTTTTTTGTTTTTTGCGTTATCAATAAATTGCCACAACACATTGAGTAAATTTTCTACAAAACTGTGACAGAGCGAGTCCCACTCCTGCCGTGCAATTCTGTAAAAAACCAAACCGGAATTCGAATTCACTCAGGTGTCCGGATTCCCTTCAAAAGGCGGCGTCCGCTCGACCTTGAATCGGTAATTACGTCTCGTGGCATAAGTAAAGTGAGTTTCGAAATGACATAGGAATAGAATATCTGAGACACGTATATTCAATCAATTTTATTTTGTAGTTTTGTACAAAAAAAGGGATCACTAGAACTTCTACCCTAATTGACCTAAATTCGTTCACACGAGTGCATTCGAGTTCGGGTCTGGATTTTTACAGAAGCTCAGGGCAGAACTTTAATGACTATTATTTAAGCCATTTCTTATATATGTCGACGGGTAGTCCGAATGGGCTATTTGCGAAGCCCAAATAGATCGTCCATATCGGAGGACTATCTTTAAAATAACACTGCAGGCGTGTATACCAACGTGGATTTGTTCCATTTTATCACTTTTCATACGAAAATATAACGAGATGAGCGTGATGTCGTCGGATGTCTTTACTCCTCGGCGATCGGAAACAGAATGTGTGCCAAAATGGCGGCAACTTGCTTTTTGTTAACGAACTGTCAAAGTCAGTGTCACCACTCTAATAAAATTAAAAGTATCGATGATCACGCTCTCTCTACAATCGAGTAACTAGCAATTAAAATAAAAGAAACTAAATCAAACGATCTTCGTAAAGATGATGCGACATATATATTGAAGCAAAAAATATACGTATCTAATATTTTTCTATTATCTGGCTGACGGACTAAATAGTTTTTTTTTTACCGAGTCGCAATATCCTATTGTACAGTTATGCCACCGAGTTATCAAACGTGTAATAAAATTAAGATGCATATGCAATATTGTTTACTGTAATTAATGAAAATTGATTAAATGGCCATTTACAATTCATCTATTAAATACTTATAATACAATTTTATGAATAATAAATATTTTTATTATCCAAAAAGTATATTAAATACGAAAAATAAATTCAGATTGTAACCTGGTCGTGTACTGCTTGATCACTCGCCGATTCTTTTATTATATCGAGGAAACACTTTGATATTTCGGGACTACAATTTTAATTAAACGGGATAATCATGGCCTGCGATCGTTGTTGTTAAGCAACTTTCGCAAAGGTCGGTCACGGGATGGGTGATCAGAAAATTATTATCTCGAGCTACTAAGTGCTTTGGAAGGCACGTTAAGTCGTTTCTCCGTAAATCCACATTGGGCCATGCCCCTTAAACATCTGTAAGAAGGCCTGTGTTCCAGCAGCGTAAAAGGGCTGATGATGAAACTGTACGCCAAAAACTATTATGAAATATTAGCACGGGTTGCTGCTTAGATGCTGATTGGTGAGTATTAACGACTACAGATGCAGCCGGGACTGACGGCTTAACACGAACGAGCTCGAGACAATATATTTTTGGTCACCCATCCCATTACTGGCCTCAGCGAGAGTCGCTTAACTTTCGTATCGCAGACAATGCTAACCACGTCCTAAATAAAGTTAAATGATAAATTGTAACTCACAATGAACGATCGACCAATTAGGACGTTCGATTGAAATCAACTAATGAAACTGTTTAACAAGAAACTGACAGTTAAATATCAATATACGTGACGATTTATTACCAATATCCATTTTTAGGGTACATTACAAATAAGTTCCACAGATCCGAGTTCACAAAACTAGACTGGCAAGGAAAAGTATAATTATTCGGCCTTATGCCGAAAAACGAATATTCGGCGAGTTTCCTGGCCTAATAGCCGAATATGTGTCCGCGCTCATTCGTTGTAACGTACTCCCCATTCTCACACCGCCCGTGCACTGCATGTTTTGATAAGTTTGGTTCATGCATATCGTAAATACGTAAAGTACAGTTTATAAAGGGCCATTCATATATTACGTCACACGTTAAGGGGGAGGGAGGTCGACGAAGTGTGACATTTTGTGACAAGGGGGTGGGAGGGTCCTAAATTTCGTGACGTCACGTTTCAAAATCTATTATAATCTAAATGTTAAAACACGAACCTTAAACTATTACTTTATAAAAACTTTGCAAAATAACTTTGATGACAAATATGTGACATCACACTAGGAGGGGGGAGTCTTACAAATGTGACCAGCTGTGACTAGGACGGGGGGAGGGACAAAAAGATCATGAAAACCGTGTGACGTAATTTATGGATGACCCCTAATTTACTCTACTTTTTATTTATTTGTAAGTGAAACTGTGAAAGATTCAACAAAAAAACAATCAAATAATTACCTACCTACTTTTATAATGACAATATTAATAATCAATTACGGTCTCTGAAAGAAATCGCCTTGGATATACTTCGAGGATGATGAAAGCGACCCGTAAAATGTCGTGTGAAAATTGTGCGGAATAAAAATATCTCATGGTGGCATTGGAAAAAAAGCTTCCACATCAGGAATGTTGGATTATTTTTTAGTATTTTTTACCACCACCACTAAAATTTGAAAAAAAAACACGTAAGTTGGTACCCGCGCTTCCTAATGGGCAAGAAATTACAAATCAAAATATGGGTGTAAATAATATAAAAAAAGCAATTGCAATGAGGAAGTATTTAAAAAAACATTAGTTCCAGAAATCAAACTAGATGTCGCTACGGTACGTTCTTGATTTCTCCATGACACCCCTTCCGGTTTTCTTTCATGTTTATAAGTAAATATATTATAGATTAGTTTTCTAAACTCAATAGACTTTTTCGTATTTGTATTGATATCTAAGTTTCGAACTTTTCAAATTTCAGTTTTATAATATGTTAGTTAAAAGGAACGGAAATGACCGTCTTTGATCCATTCGTTTCCAGCAAAAATCAACTTTTGCTAGAGTCGCCATCTAGTGAAGGTGCTTTTTAGTGCTTTCGTCTTTTTTAGATACTACCTCATTGACTCTTGAAAAATGTGCAAAAATGAGTAAACTATGGAATATTAAGGATCTCAAGGCTAAAAAAATACCATATTTAAATTGCCGAAATGATTGCACTTGACAATGAGGCAGAAAATATATTAGAAAGGGCTGGTATAATAAACCAAGTCGTCTTTACTTAACAGATAATTCTTGAAATATATCAGAAAGTGGTTGAGAAAATTAAAACACACGTTTCAGAGACAGATTATATCCTAGTGACATCCGAAATGTGGACATGCTTGCATCAGTAGACAATATGATAACTTTTTTTTAAGTATTACTAAATGTGCAGTAATCCTTAATTCAATGTCAAATAGTATTGAGCATCAAGCATTTTGAGGAACAGCACACAGTCATTAACATAAATCAAATCAAATCAAATAATCAAATAATTTATTGGCCATATAACTCAGAAGGTTACACTCGGCAAGTCTTTTACAATAAGCATTTTAAATTAAATAAAAAGGTTTAAATCATGCAGGACAAATCATTGTAAGTAGGAATGTCAAGTAAATTAAGTATCTTAACAATGTCAAAATGGTTATTTTTCCGATCCTTAATAATCAATTATATCACAGTCATTTAAATTACATTATATTATATATATATATATATATTTACCTATTATCCAAAATTAGATTATACAAACATATAGATAATATCAATGGCTTTACAAATAATTGGACAGAAATAATAGACGAAACATAGTAAAAGGGGGCGTCCATAAATTACGTGAGGTGTTTTTTAAAATTTTCTGTCCCTCCCTCCCCCTCTGGTGAGATATCGTGAGATTTTATTCAACCCCCTCCCCCATCCCCCAATCTCACGTGAGATTTTTCAAAATGCAATTTGATGAGTACTTGCGAGTATTTGCCTTGTTGTAGTATCGAGTACTCAGTATCGTTCGAGCCCTACAAATATGATGGTTTGACATTCAGTCGATGTATAGCGTCGAAATATGAATGAAATTATTTTCTTTCGAACGAATTAGTGAATGATCTTAATCGTATACGATTACGCTTAAGATTAAATCTTAAGCATGTACAATTTAGATTAAATGGACCAAAATAGTATTTTTTTTTGTTTCAATCAGAAAAAAAATTGCGTGATATTTGCCGAGACCCCCCCTCTCTCCAACGTAAGATTAGATGAGATTTGCCTCGACCCCCTCCCCCCCTTAAACATCTCACGTAATTTATGGACGCCCCCAAAGCTGTTAGTGACGCAGAGGTGACTTGCGCGTTGTTTCATTCATACTATCAAATGAATTGTCAAAAGTCTGAAGATTTAGTTAGATGTGACGCAAATGATAAAATCAGGTAGGAGGATCGTAACACATTTTAATTATTCTGGTGCTGCATAAGAAAAATGCAAATTTACAACAACAAAAAACTTTTTTTATTTAAAACTCTGTAGTTTCTGTTTGTGTCAAGATTATTTGGGTTTTATTATTATTTATCAAGAACTGGAATGTTACCTCTCCAAAACATTCAACAAAATGAGATACCACCTGTAAATTTTTTAAAGAAATTTATCACAAAAATGGTTCACTTTCGCATACATAATGTGAGGTGAAAATAATTGTAAATGAACTGTAAATGACTCTATGACCCCTTGAAAGGATCAGGTGTAATAGGGATGATGACTAATTTTTGTTTGTTTGTCCGTCAGGTAGAGTGTTAAAAAATATTAAACACGTATTTTTTTATTTTTTTCGTAATTATAAAATGACGGCGTTATATGGAGTTGAAATTTCGCATGACGTCACGTTAGAGTACGTTTTCTACTAAACTGTGACGTAGCGAGCCCCCAC